CGCATCGGTGCGAGATTTTTACATTCTTTCTGGCACCGATGCGCATCGGTGCCCAGAAAAAATAATTATTCGGCACCGGTGCGCACCCGTGCACAACCAGTGCCGATAAAATATTTTTTTGTAGGGTAATGTTGAATGAATATGTAGCAAAGAAGAAAAACTGGTATACTCGAGGCAGCTTTATCACAAGGCTGGATGATACTCCAAGTAAGAAAACAACACTGTAAAATGGCGAGAATGAAAAAATTCGCTCGGCGAAAGTAGGACTCATGGCGCGACAAAGGGATTCCTATAGCGAGAATGAAGATTCGCTCGTTTAGTGACTTTTCATCGCGAGTCACGTCGCGATTTTTGCAAGATAGTTGACCTGGGTAGGTATAATGAGTTTCGGAAGTCCCAAATTGATTAAAACTTTTACAGAATGTTCTTCGTCTCACAATACATCTGTAAATTGCATAAATTATCATGGAGTGATTTGTAGGTTTTCCAAAAAATCTTGTGTTTTCGGGTAAAATCCATTTTTCTTACCCCAGAAGCACTTTCATAAAAAAGCTAATGATATTTTTAAAATCAACACGTCAAACTTCATCGAATGACATGTCAGTTGTGTGTTTTTATGCGCAAAAAATTGTTCGATTTAATGAAATGACAGATTTGCGGTATTCCCGTAGCAAATTTGGCTAGATAATGTGGTTCTCTCTTTGTTTTTTTCGTTTTCTACTCTTTCTTCCTTTCGTTTCTTCGATGTAACATCTTGATAAGCAATATTATTTTTGTAACTACCATGCTCATGCAAAAATAAAGTTCATTCATTCATTTTCGCTAGAAACTATTCGTCAATTCGCTGCTTGAGCAGGGAGTTCGATTTTAATGTAGATAGTTCTGAATTAGCAACGTTCATCGGTCTTCCTTGTATTTTAGTTCCGATAGAAGTATACTAGATCAGTGAACTATAGGATTTTAAACCACCATACTATTTTGGATGCTCACGAACTAATTCGTTCCTGGGAGACTCGATATTCTGACCGCGTATCTCACTCGAATTCGGTAACGTTAAAAACAGTACAATCATCTTTTTCTGGCAAGCAGTCAATGATTGGAACAATCGTCTAATGTTTTCAGAAACAGTAGTTTTAGCCTCCTCTGTCAAAATCTTCAAAACAATTCTCAAAAGCCATCTTAACATAAACTACTGTCCTTTTCAAATTATGGTGCCAGGGGCCATTTTTCGAATGGCTCGAGAACGAAAAGAGATAGAGACTTCTGTTTTTCACCATTCGAATGAAGGAGACTTGGACGTATATTTTCATAACCAACATATTTTTTAGAAGAGTTTTCTAAAATAGGTTTCCAGGAGAACTTGGGAAAACCGGACCTTGTGTAAAAACTTCCTAATAGGATTGTATTAATTTGTTTTCATTGACTGATAGCTCGAACTGTCTTCTTCAATGTGTGAGTCAAGCAAGACCGCGATCTTCCGCAGTTCGGGCGTTGTATCGGATTTTCTACGAGTCGCAGGACTGGCAGCCGACGACTATCGGTAGCCTGAAAGATGGATGGACTATGCGTAATCGACCATGCTGGAGCTCGTGGCGTTTTCAAGCTTTTTTCACATAATATTAAAAAATTCACAATTCACTCAAAAAACACCAGAACACCTTCAAAACTTCAAGATGTAGAGCATTTAAGCTATTCTAAATGCTATTTATAGAAAGAAATTTTACAAAATCCTAGGGTTTTTCCAACGACCTTCTGTAAAATCTATGAAAGTAAAAATGCCTTTTCGATTTTTTCGATCTTATAATCTTAGCGGACAACATTAATCGTATCTTGAGATTTTGCAGTCGTGAATTTTTTAATATTACGTGAAGAAAGTTTGGAAACCTTGTTTGTCATAAAACTCGCTTTCAGTGGATTTTTAAAAAATTTTCTCAAAAGAAATTTTTTTTAAGTACCTATTTTAGAAAACGCTTCTAAAAAACATTTTGGTTATGAAAATATACGTCCAAATCTCCTTCATTCGAATGGTGAAAAACAGAAGTCTCTATCTCTTTTCGTTCTCGAGCCATTCGAAAAATGGCCCCCGGCACCATAATTTTAAAAGGATAGTAGTATTTCTTTTTTTCTTTCTTTCTATTTCACTATGGGTGATGTTTTTTATTTTTGTTGTTATTTATCTTATTTCTGTTTATTTGTTGTTTACCTTCTACTTCAACTATTATAATATCTTATTATTATTATTCATATTGTCATTGTGTGTATATTGAGTGTGAATGTATGCGTAGTTTTGTGTGTGTGTGTGTGTTATGTTTTTTATTTACTGGTTGTATAACATAGCTCCTATGTAAAGTTTTCTTGAACGCTTTTTTGTACATCCAGAACATGGTCAGACGTTGAAACAAATAGAAATAGAAATAATATACGACTGAACGTTATGCAATCGTTTTACCCTTATTCTAAGAATAAGAAAAAATTATTTGATTATGTCTGCATGTGTCCATGGAGAAGGAAACACCAATTTCTCATTTAAACGGTTACTTCATTGTTAATGGATCGAAATAAAGAAAAAAATATTTTATACAACAGTTTCCACTTCTTCAACTTCTTTTTTATATATAGGGCCATATTTGTCATATAACAGTCGACAATACTGTTCTTTTTCTCTCAAAATCTGACGCTCATACAAACACTGAGCAATCCTATTTCTAATTATAAAATTAAAAAGATGTAGAAAGAACTTTTTCTTCTTTTCACAACAGAATTTTAGCAACAAAAAGTCATTTTACTTTTGTCACATTGAAGTAGAGAAATTTTTCACGTGCATAAAAAACATACTTTGTGTCGAAGAATATCTAGCAATTCAACAACCACAACAGGCAAACAGTATTCCTTTTTACGTTGAACCTCTTTTTGTATTTATATTTAAAGCTGATATAATAACGATACTTATGATCATATACATATAAATAGACTGTTAATACAATCACAGAACATGAGATCCATATGGTCTCTTCTTTTCCTCAATCAAAAAGTTATTCAAATCGGCTTGATTTTCAGAAAACTGGGGTGGACTAGTATTGTCATTATTGTCTCTGTTCTGTGTATTCAACAGTTGACACAACTTATCAAATCAGCTAATCATTTAGTTCATGACAAACATCATTTATTCGCTTTAAACCTCACTGCTCAAAATACAACAGTGGCTTTTTCAACAAGCAGCTCTTTACCGTTAATAATACGACAAAATTCCTCCATGTGGAATATCTTAGTAAACGACAGGAGAAACGAAATAATGAAATTATTTTATCAACATGCTACTCGGTCTAGAAATGCTTCGTATCCGCTCATAAGTGGCGATACATTCAGAGCATTTGCCGATCATGTATTCGACGAAACAGCATCCATCAATACATGGCCTGATAAAATTCGAAATATGGCAGACGGAGACATTTTATTTCTAAAAACGGATATGCTCAGTTCTTTTTTTCCACTTTTCAACACGATTAATTGTTCATTTATACTCATTTCACATAACAGTGATAATTCAGCTCCCGGTACTTATAAAACATACCTTAACGATGCAAGACTCTTGGCCTGGTTTACTCAAAATCCTGATACTTATCATCCAAAATTGTATACATTACCTATTGGATTGGCAAATATGCGTTGGCCCCATGGAAATTTGAATGAATTGATGTTCGCATTTCATAATCATAGACGACCATTCGGCAATCGAGAAATTTTGGTATATGTTAATTTTGACGTGAATACAAACACCCGCGAACGAACGGATGCGTTAGATCAAGTAAAAACTATTCAAAATGTTCGTATTATTAAACAGAAAATTCCATTTTCTACTTATTTAAATGATATTGGAAATACGAAATTTGTTTTGAGTCCACGAGGTAATGGACTCGATTGTCATCGAACATGGGAGGCACTGTTGATGGGAGCCGTTCCCATCGTTCATACAGGGGAATTAGATTCCCTTTTTGTGGATACACCAGTAATAATAGTCAAAGCTTGGTCTGATGTCACAGAAAATTATCTTTTATCACTGAACTTTACACAGTTTGATAATACTGGAGCAAGTATTCTGCTTGCAAAATATTGGTATTGGAAACTAACTTACACCCGTAAATCATTACCCATAGATCTATTCAAGACTTGAGCAGCAGTAAAGTCAAAGTACTTTTAAACAATACTGTTTAAAAAAACGAGAGATACCAAAATGTGGAATAATGAATAAAAAATTGTGGTCATAGATGTGAAACTCCTCGGAGGTGATACGATATTACTGGTTCACAAGAGCTGGCTCTACGAGACTCACGAGTATTCCCATCAGAGACCATCGTAGGACAGGGCTCCTCTGTTGTCCTGCCACCCTGCCCTGCAACAGGGCAGGACAACAAAAAGTTCCTTGATTTGCCCTGCGAGAGATTGATTTTTGAGATTTTCAAGCTTCCTTTTAAATAAAATTTTGAGATCTCTCGTATATGTGAAAATAAAAATGACAGCCAGCTTTTCTAAAATTGACAATTAGTAAAAAAAAAAGATTCTACTACCCACGAGAAACACATCCAGTATTTGTAATGAGTTTCTTGATGATAAAGTCTTCTAGGTTAAGGAGAAAAACTTTCTTTTGCACTGTATGGCGTCCTACCAAGCCAAACAGGGCAGAGTAGGCCCAAAAAAATTTTACAAGTAATTTTCTGACAGGACAGGACGAAAAAGTTGCCCTGCGATGATCTTTGATTTCCATCACCATAAACTGTTCGCAAATGACTCATTCATGGTGTGAATTTTGTTTATAGAAAATCTGGCTAAAATAAACGCAGGCAACAGCAAATCATTAACAAAATTTTGCATAGGGAATGCTCATTATAGTCGAAGTACATCTGTGTATATTGATCCAAGTGTATGTGTAGAAAATCCTTTTTGAGGATGTCATATCACATTTGACTACTGAAACCTTCAACACCTCTATTCCCGCAAAATAACAGATGAAAAGTTTCACAAAATAAAGACAATTTTAACAATGTTACTGCTAACGTTCAACTTTTCCATAGAAAAAGATGATCACGCGAAATGTTTCTAGAGTAGAATTTATTTATGCTTAGAAAAATTGTGTTTATTTCATATTCGAATGATCGATTATTTGTGTTTGTAATAATATTCTATTTAAGGTGTTGGTAATTTTTTTCGTGATATTTATATATGATTGGAGAGAGTTCGTCGAACTGAATAAGAAAAAATTAGTTTCAGATTTGTTAGAAAAATCAAAAATACAAAACTAGTATAATTCGTGAAAAAACGCTATAAAAAACTTTCGATTTTTCGCCTTTTCCCTTTCTTCTAAAATTTTCAAACAGTTTCTTTCTGATTCAGTATCAAAAACTGAGTCTAGAAACATCGATACTGTTTGAAAATTTTAGAAGAAAGAGAAAAGGCGAAAATTTTTTCTAACCTTTTTTACACGAATTATACAACTTTTGTGTTTTCGATTTTTCTCCCTTAAAAAATTTTTCTAACAAATCTGAAACTAATTTTTTCTTACTCAGCTCGACGAACTCTATCCAATCATATCGTGAAAAAAAGAATTATGCTCAATTTTTTAATTACTACCGCCTTTTGTTCTCTCTTCTTTGATTTGCTTTGCATGTAGTGAATATTTGCAATTTTTTTCTTGTTATTTATTTTATTTTACTTCTAGAATAAATAATAGGCTATCTTTATTTTAAACTAAAAAGTATTTTTGTGCCTTAAATTCCATAAATGTTCAATAAAAAATATTTTATTTATATTTAAAGAAAAAAAAAAAAGAATTAGAAAAAAATAATAAATAAAAGTTAGATGAAAAATAAAAGAATATGAAATGATTACAAAGTCTCGATTTCTAACTATTACCAACTAAAGAATTTCTGTAATATTTTACATAACTCTCTCTAACGTGTATTATTCTCTTTGAAAACGAAATTGTTAACCTTAGAAGACAGAAATAAGAGATCTAAAATAAAAAAATATAATCAATTATACACATTAGTCTATCAAATATCTTAAAAGTTTTAAAATTTTTAGTGCTAGTAGTTCAAACATGAAAAATAATTTTATAAAATAAAATTAGAATTAATATGTTTTGATGTTGAAGAAGTCCAAATAAAATTAGAATTAATATGTTTTGATGTTGAAGAAGTCCAAATAAAATAGAGAAAAATGTTTTCATTATCGTAAATTGAACAATGGTTAGAGTGGTAATAGAAACTTCATATTTGTAAAATAATGATTATTGAATTCATACAATTCATACACTACAGAAAATGATTTTAGTTGATTGGTTTTCAGATTTGAATTCTGGATATAGTTGCAAAAAAAGATTTATGCTTAAGTAGAGTTTTTTATTATTTGATTTGATTGAATTTTTATACTCTTTGTTTTCCGACATCTTTCTGTTGAAAGAGAAAAACGAATTATGTTGTTATGAAGATTGTATTTAATATTGTCAACTTAATTTCAAACACTTTTTCAAATAAATTAATAAAATATTTATTTTTATTAATATTTTGTTCAAGAATTTAAGAAATAAACTATTTGACCTAATTGACATTTAAGTACTTTTTTTTATTTTTGATTAACTTGATAGATATGCATGACATAGATGATTTTATTTCATTTGCGTCTTACTATAGTCGATTTTGTTTTGTTTTTTGAAATGAGTGTTGAATGTCATTCTATATGACACATATTTATTTTATCGTTTAACATTTTTTCATTGTCTTTTTTATTCTTCATGTTTCTTTGTTTATTGCTCGATCAACTTCCTCTTTTGCTCGCTTTATGATTTCTATAGATTAATCTCATTTTTATTCATACGTACACAAAAATGTTTTTCTCAAGAGAGTTTTCTTTGCCCAGCCCTCTATTTGTCTTGTTATAGTTGGAAATAGAACGCCAATAACAAGTTTCTTATTCTGCGATTTTTTTTTTTTTTTTTTCTATAGAGAAAGAGGAAAACTTATACAAGTAACAAAATAATAATCATTTTTTTTAGTTTATGATTTTGTCAAATAACAATAAAAAATTTCCTATTTCCTCTATATCGATGTGAATTGAAAAGAGCATGCACGATTTGATTCGAAAAAAATATGTGTGGTTATTCTTGTTGAATAAAATCAATTGTAAATAACAATGAAATACGTTAATTGTTGAAGTTATCTCAAGAAATAAAATAACTTGTAGTCATTTTTTTTATTTAAAATATTTCCCATTGATAAATATTTAATGTTTAACATTCTAAAATGTTCTTTAAAAACGTTTACATGGCTATTATTATTATGGAATTATTTTGAATATCGGAATGAAAATTGATGTTGTTTATTGTACGAAATTCCATTCGTTATTATGTATATTGTTAATAATGATATCATTAAGAAATTGTCTTATAGGTAAAAATTTGATCTAATTATTTATTTCACAACAGTATTATGCATTTTTCTCATTCTTCTAGGAATTAAAGCAAGCGAAACTGTTGATAAAAACGTGTGCTCAAAGGTATTCTATTAAAAATGATAGTTAATTATTAATAAAAATTTGAGATATAGTTTGTTTTCAAAATTATCAATTAAAATACTTTTTTAATTGGGTATTTCAATTGAAAAATGAAAAAATATAAACTACGATTGCGTTTTTCAACAACACATGAACACAAGACCATCATAGAAATTGTATCTCAGCTATAAAATGAATCACGATTTATAAATCGACAGTTTATTAAGGATACCTCTGCCCTCTTTTTTGAAAAAATTTCGAATTTTGAGCTGAACATAGCCTAATGTAGAGGAAAGTCTGGACTACAAAATGAGACTACTCCAAGACCTTTCTTCATAAAGTTATGAATTTTTGAAGTTTTTCCTTCAAAGCCTAAAAAAACTTAATTTTTTAGTTGCATAAACTTTTCTCTCCTTTTCTGTACATTCAAAATTTTTCTTACACGTAGTCTGCTAGAAGAAAGTATTTTGTTCACAATGAGATGTCTCTCAGCATTTTGCGATGAATTTTCGTGAAAATAAAAGCGTCGTGGCAAATGGCCTGAAAAAAAGTGGCCTGAGTACAAAATGTGTTTTTTCTCGAAAATTATTTGTTTTGCTACTGGGCTTCATTGTGTCACATTATGACCTCCTTAAATTTCATCCGATCGAGTTAAAAATTCTACCACAGGTACTCAAGGTCATAGCACAACGGTATAATTTTGAAATTTTTTATTTTCGACCTTTCTTTTAAATAACTCGAGAGTTATAAGGTTTCTAAAATTAATAAAAACTTGTTGTTTGAAAGTTTTTCTATTTTTCCTATAACTTGGTAAAAGAAGGTCTAAAAGAAAATTTCAAAATTATATCTCTGTGCTATGACCTTGAGTAGTTCTGGTAAAATTTTTAGCGAGATCGGATGAAATTTAAGAGGGGTCGTAATATTGTCCAATGGAAAACCGAGTTATCTGGAAAACTGGTGAATGGCAATAGTTAGAAACTTGAAACAAAAACGAAAAAGTGTTCCATTAAATTTTCAATCAGTTCTGAAAATATGAAGCCTTAAAATCTATATTGACAAATATCATTAAAATATGTCAAAAGTATCATATTCAAAGAATTTTCTTATATATAACATTTTATTTGTAATTTTAGATGCAATCCATGTTATCCTATGGAAAATATCATACAACTCAGATGTCCTCGAATATAACCTATGTAAAACGTGACTATCCACATAATTTTCTCGCCTATTCGCCTATCAATGATATTATTGTTTTTGTTGAACCAAATAATTTGATTCATGTTTATAATTCAAAAACCATGTTACTTCTTGCTAATATATCGACAAATGAAATTGTTATAGCCGGTTCATGTGCTGCATTCTCCACAACAATAGTTCCAACATCTCCATTAACGACGGCATTGTTTTTTATTTATCAAAATTTAAAAAAAGAATTTGTATATATATTATCTATTTGCCAAATGAATTTTAATCTCATTCAATTGGTTTTTACTAAAGTGTATTGTATCGAACCATTAGAAATTCATTCAAAAAATAATATAAAAATTACGGGTTTTACAATAAAAAAAAATCATCAATATGTTAAAGGAAAACCAAAATCACTATTGTTTATTTCAAGTGATATTGGTATTATTTATTCAATATTCGATTCAAATTCTGGTAAGTTAAAGGTTTGCGTATAAAAAAACAAAGCCATCGAAAGTCGATTCGCACTGTTAAATCTATGTATTTGTCATATTCTAGGTTTGTTATATCGAAAACCTATGATTATGAATGAAACATTGAATGAAGGTAATATTGTTTTATCGTCGTCCGGTTTTATATTTTATGCCAGTATGCAAGATCATACCAACTATGAATTATTTGTAACAAAAGATTTTCGAATTAAATATGGAAAAATAATGAGAAGTAACGCCATTAAATATCCCTTCGGTCTTATAACAGACGAATGTAATCATTTATATATTGCAACGAAATCAATGATTCTCGTCATGAATATTAAAACATATACGACGATTCGAAATGTTTTCTCAAAATCATCGGAATTACCGATCTCCATTGAACGTCTTAATACAACAACATTTATCTATGCAACAATTAAAAAAATTACACGGACAAGATCCGTCTGGATGTTTAATCTGTTAGAATTCAACGGTATTTATCTTCAGAAAATCTTCACGATTTCAAAATGTTGGTGAGATCGGACAAACGTTCGAACTCTTCTTTGTATTCTAGAAGGAATTGAGGCATTATAAGGAAACAGCTAGATTTCAAATAATGTGTGATATGTGACTGCATTCTTTCTATTATAGAAGCCGAAATTAAACATACAACACCGTCTACAACTCGATATCGTGAGTTTCATTTGCACATATACTTAAGTATTGTTGCACTCATTTATTTCACACTAATTAATATAGCACTTGTCATGCACCCTTGCACGAAAACATCTTGCAGATAACCTCGTTTTTTGAGCAACTATACAAAGAGAACTAGTTGCTAGTTAAAATTAAAATATTTTAGACTCAAGACAACAACAACTTCTCCCGTTTGATATTCCAAAGTTATGGCCGGCTACCCGATTAGACAATGATACTATCCCCACCACTCCAAATATAACGAGACAAGATTTATCATTATTCAAGGTATTGAACGATAAGAAAACACATAAACTGCGGCTCATAACACCCAGTTATTACAAAACAAACTCCTCGCAATCAGATACTTCATGGAACAATGCTTTTAACGCATCCGACCTCCCTATTCCATTATCTCTCATTGATGTTACAAGCTTCAGAACAAGTGAGACAGAAAAGTTTAACTCCACTAGAATTACACTGAACATTTCTTCAGTTCCAGTAAACACGAAATCACCGCACGTGATATCAACACAATTTATCACAAATTCGTTCCAGTTGAAACAATCTACTGTAACCGTACCCACAAGCTTAAGCTTCACGTCAATTTCTACTGACACTTCACCAAAACCAGTCTCTACCACCGTGCCTTCTTATTCTTTTGCTACTAGTTCGATACTCACACAAAACATTTTACTCAACACTGGTAATATACAGACTTTATCTTACACTATAACGAACAAAACTGTTTCAATACAATCTAACACATATCCAAGATTATCTTCGTCGCTTTCATCATCAAGTTCAAGAAATGCTTTGACTTTACAATCGAAAACAGAAATCAACGATGATCAGCACAATGGGACATTAAGTACAATCAGGCAGACAACCTCCACCACATATAAAAGTCTACCGTCGTCGATTCCACAAAGTTCCCGATTTCGGAACCTTGAGCCAGAAAATATCCTTCAAACATCATCTCAGAATTTGAGTACTGTGANTAAACGCCCATCAAGACAATGGGACATTAACGACAATCACGACGACAACTTCCAGCATACATCCCAGTTTATCGTGGTCCATTCCACAAAGTTTCACATTTCTGAATCTTGAGCCCGAAAACATCCTTAAAATACCATCTCGGACATTCAGCGGTGTGACAATTTCTTCATTAAGTCCAACAAATGCATTCACTGCACAATCGCAAGCAGAATTCAACGATGATCAACATAATGGGAAACTAACAATAATCAGGGAGACAACTTCCAGCACAGATGTAAGTTTATCGTCGCTGACTCAACAAACTTCAAAATTTCCAGATCTTGAGCCCGAAAATATCCTTGTAACGTCATCCGAGACATTCAACAGTGTAACACTTTCTTCATTAAGCTCTACAGATAATCTGACTGTACAATCGAAAACACAAATCAACGATGATCCAGACAATGGGATATTAACAACAACCAGGCACACAGCTTCCACCACATACCAAAATTTACCGTCGTTCATTCAACAAAGTTCAAAACTGCCTGATCTAGAGCCGAAAAATATCCTTGAAACATCATCCCAGATATTCACTAGTGTGACACTTTCTTCATTAAGCTCTACAAATAATCTGACTGCACAATCGAAAACACAAATCAACGATTATCCACACAATCGGACATTAACAACAATCAGGCAGACAACCTCCACCACATATAAAAGTCTACCGTCGTCGATTCCACAAAGTTCCCGATTTCGGAACCTTGAGCCAGAAAATATCCTTCAAACATCATCTCAGAATTTGAGTACTGTGACACTTTCTTCATTGAGCTCCACAGATAATTTGACTGTACAATCGGAACCACCAATAAACGCCCATCAAGACAATGGGACATTAACGACAATCACGACGACAACTTCCAGCATACATCCCAGTTTATCGTGGTCCATTCCACAAAGTTTCACATTTCTGAATCTTGAGCCCGAAAACATCCTTAAAATACCATCTCGGACATTCAGCGGTGTGACAATTTCTTCATTAAGTCCAACAAATGCATTCACTGCACAATCGCAAGCAGAATTCAACGATGATCAAGATACTGCGAAACTAACAACAACCAGGGAGACAACTTCCAGCACAGATGTAAGTTTATCGTCGCTGACTCAACAAACTTCAAAGTTTACAAACCTGGAACCGCAAAACATACTTCAAACATCGTCGCAGACATTAACTCGTGCGACACTTTCTTCATTAAGCTCTACAGATAATCTGACTGTGCAATCAAAAACACAAATCAACGATGATCCACACAACGGGATATTAACAACACTCAGGCAGCCCACTTCCACCACATATCAAAGTTTACCGTCGTTCATTCAACGAAGTTCTAAACTGCCTGATCTAGAGCCGGAAAATATCCTTGAAACATCATCTCAGACATTGAGGAGTGTGACACTTTCTTCATTAAGCTCTACAGATAATTTGACTGTACAATCGAAAACAGAAATCAACGATGATCCAGATAATGGGAAACTAAGAACAATCAGGCAGACAACTTTCACCACACATCCAAGTTTACCTTCGTGGTTTGAACATACCTCACTGTTGCCAAATGCTGAACCGGAAAACATGTTTGAAACCTCATCACAGATATTGAGCATTGTGACGCTTTCATCATTAGGTTCAACAGTTGATTTGACTGTAGACTCAAGCACGACCGATGATCAAGACAATGGGACATTACCAACAGTCAGGCAGCCCACTTCCACCGCATATCAAAGTTTACCGTGGTTCATTCAACAAAGTTCAAAACTGCCTGATCTAGAGCCGGAAAATATCGTTGAAACATCATCTCAGACATTGAGTAGTGTAACAGTTTCTTCATTAAGCTCTACAGATAAGCTGACTGTACAATCGAAAACACAGATCAACGATGATCGGGACAATGGGGACCTCACAACAATCTGGCAGACAACTTCTATCACACATCCAAGTTTACCGTCGTGGATTCAACAAAGTTCCAGTTTTCCAGACCTTGAGGTGCAAAACATCGTTCAAACATCGTTACAGACATTCAGTAGCGTGACACTTTCTTCATTAAGCACCACAGATAATATGACTGTACAATGGAAAACAGAAATCAACGATGATCCAGATAATGGGAAACTAAGAACAATCAGGCAGACAACTTTCACCACACATCCAAGTTTACCTTCGTGGTTTCAACCTACTTCAAAGTTGCCAAATGCTGAACCGGAAAACATGTTTGAAACCTCATCACAGATATTGAGCATTGTGACGCTTTCATCATTAGGTTCAACAGATGATTTGACTGTAGACTCAAACATGACCGATGATCAAGACAATGGGGAACTAGCAACAATCAGGGAGACAACTTCCAACACACATCCAAGTTTACCATCGTCTACTGAACAAAGTTCAAAGTTTACAAACCTGGAACCGCAAAACATCCTTTTAACATCATCACACGCATTCAGCAGTGTGACACTTTCTTCATTACGCTCGGCAGATAGTTGGACTGTGCAACAGAAAACAAAATTCAACGATGATCAAGATACTGGGAAACTAACAACAACCAGGGAGACAACTTCCAGCACAGATGTAAGTTTATCGTCGCTGACTCAACAAACTTCAAAGTTTACAAACCTGGAACCGCAAAATATACTTCAAACATCATCTCAGACAGTGAGTAGTGTGACGCTTTCTTCATTCAGCTCAACAAAGGATCTGACTGTAGACTTGAAGATGACCGATGATCGGGATAATGGGAAACTAACAACAATCAGGCAGACAAGCTTTTTGGCGTTTTTTCGACAAAGTTCAAAATTTCCAGATCTGGAGCCGGAAAATATCCTTGAAACATCATCTGAGATTTCATTGAGCTCCACAGATAATTTGACTGTACAATCGAAAACGCAAATCAACGATGATGAAGACAATGAGACATTAACAACAATCAGGCACACAACTTCCACCACATATCCAAGTTTACCGTCGTCATTTCAACAAAGGTCAAAATTTCCAGGCCTTGAGCCCGAAAATATCCTTGAAACATCATTACATACATTCAGCAGTGGGATACGTTCTTCGTTAAGCTCAACAAATGCTATTACTGTAGAATCGAAAACAGAAATCAACGATGATCAAGATAATGGGAAGCTAACAACAATCAGGCAGACAACTTCCAGCACACATCCAAGTTTACCGTGGTTGATTCAACAAATTTCAAAATTGCCAAAACCCGAGCCGGAAAACAGCCTTGAAACATCATCGCATACATTCAGTAGTGTGACACTTTCTTCGTTAAGCTCTACAGATAATTTGACTGTACAATCGAAAACACAGATCAACGATGATCAAGATAATGGGAAACTAACAACAATCAGGAAGACAACTTCTATCACACATTCAACTTTACCGTCGTCATTTCAACAAAGTTCAAAGTTTGCAGGTCTTTCTGCGCAAAAGATCGTTCAAACATCATCCCAAACAGTCAATAGTGTGAGACTTTCTTCATTAAGTTCAGCAACTGAGTTGACTGTAGAATCGAAAACAGAAATCAACGATGATCAAGATGATGGGAAGCTAACAACAATCAGGCAGACAACTTCCAGCACACATCCAAGTTTACCTTTGTGGATTCAACCTACTTCAAAGTTGCCAAATGTTGAGTCGGAAAACATGTTTGAAATATCATCACAGACATTCAGCAGTGTGATGCATTCTTTATTTGATTCAACAAATGATTTGACTGTAGACTCAAACATGACCGATGATCAAGACAATGTGAAACTAGCAACAATCAAGGAGACAACTTCCAGCAAACATCCAAGTTTACCATCGTCGATTCAACAAAGTTCAAAGTTTACAAACCTGGAACCGCAAAATATGCTTGAAACATCACAGATGTTCAGCAGTATAACGCTGTCATCATTTAGTTTAACGAATGATACGGATATGCATTCGAAAATGATAATCAATGATGATCAGGATAATGGGGAACGAAGTACAATGGGGGTGACAAGTTCCAGCTCAGTGAGGAAGACAATTTTATTGGATGATGATACTGAAATGTTGAATAATTATATGGCCAAGCCTGAGGTAACTGTAATACCTGTATGGCTAGATTCTACCGGCACAGACGGAATGGTCGATAGGTCCTCTTCTATCGCTGAAAATGGTCAGTTAACAGATAGTGCTAAACTGTTCACCATCGATAAATTGTCAGATATTTTGGAATCATGGAGGGCGTTTACAACGGAAGGAAACACTGGAATAACTGATAGTAAAATGCTATCAAGTGCGAAAATAAAATCTATCATGACCACGCGCATGGAATCGAGCAAACAAAGTCCACAAATCATTGACATTTTCTTTGATAGCACGCGTAGTTCAAGTACGGCGCCAAATCAGACAAAATTATATCATGATGTTGCATTCAGCGAGTGTATAAACTGCTCAAACCTAAGTATTGTTTCAATGACAAAACCAGACGAATATTCCAGTACTGATGGAATGAAAAGTTTCTTGTTAAACACACCGGAATTGACCTTCATTACCACCGAAAGTTCCAAAGTTATTGATATTGATCAGCGTGTATTTACCTCAAATTTATTGTTGCAACAAAATACAGCAATTTCAATAGGTACTACTTTTCGGACTGATATATCAACTACATCAGACTTACAAAAGATAACAGACACAAAATTAGAACTTTCACATTTTACTTATGACAAAAATATCGCTGTCGAACATTTGAATACTCCGGTAATGATAAGCAAATATTATCGTACTACTATATCATCCATAGTAGCAGAGTTGCACGATGTTATGCTAACCACCAAAACATCTACACTTACATTAGTCGTGGATCGATATTTATCTACATTACAGTTACCTTTGAATAAAAACACATTGCTTACATCTGTCAGTGATAAAATAATTACATTGCACTTGTCAACAACTCTTTCTCATCCGCTTCATTCTACTACTTGTTCACACCATAACACAGCTTCACTGCACTCTAAACATCACACACAATCACCATCAACACGCTTACATGAATATTCTTCTTCGACTGCACTGCTATTACACCATACACCATACAGAGGTATATGTTTAACCTGTTTAACTTCAACAAATTTTATTTTATCAGAACTAACTCACTCTCATTTAGAATCCACGCAGCAGCAAACAATGTTACCGTTGACGTACTCATCATCAGTAGTACCGTTAACGCACTCATCATCAATGCTACCGTCAACATACCCATCATCAATGCCACCGTCAACGTACTCATCATCAATGCCACCGTCAACGTACTCATCATCAATGCTACCGTCAACATACTCATCATCAGTAGTACCGTTAACGTACTCATCATCAATGCTACCGCTGAAGTATTCGTCATCGACATTATATACTACAAACGAATCAACCGTCTCTAGCCACCCAATCACAGCGACTATCGAAATTACGTCAGAAAGCTCAATTAATACATCAGACTCGATCCTAAGTACTCAGGTTTTCCCAACTGTTCAATTCCACTCATCAACGCAGATGTCTCTGACCACATCGTCATCATATACTTTTATACCTGCTACTAGTACACTAGCTCAAACTATGTTCACATCTACTGTGGAGTCCACAACACATTTTCGTACATCTCCTCCTAATATATTTCATATTACAACTGTAGATCGATCGTCGTCTAGTACAGATTCTTCAAATATAGAATATTCGACCGATGTCTATAGTTCATTTTCTGCTTCGATCGGCGCTGACAAAGTATCAACAAATGAAGAATTTTTAACTTCAGATATACTAATCACCAAAACGTCAACAATGATTCCCGAATACAGCACCGAACAATATACACCTTCTAGTTTTTCAACTCAAAGTAAATCATCAGTAAATAGTGAAACGGAATTCTCACCTGCTACAACCTGTTGTTTCGTCTCTACGAGAGATATCATACTGACATCCTCACAATTAGATGACAGCGAAAAACACAGCACATTGAGTTCACTAATATACGAATCCTCTTTTTCAACCAAAAAATCAACGTTCGAAGAACTAACTGATCAATATTCGTCCGAAACATCCGCAACTGCGTCATCGTCAGACAATTCCAGAAGACTATCATTCTCTCATACAACGTCAGATTTTCCATTAATATACTCGTCTAATACTAAATTATCTAGTTTAAAGTATAGAACCAGATCATCTTCGTTTGTTAAAAATATCACCAATACGTTGACTACATCTCGTGTTATCCCACGTTTATCATCTTCTGTACTAATAACAACAAGTACGCGTCCTTTTCGGCAATGGAAGCCAAAAACACGTAATGGAACTCGTATGGCACTTACGATCACAACAACTCCTTTTCAGCAACCCACTTCTACTCATCGTACATATGAGAATATCGTAACAACAGCAACGAAAAACTATTTCCGTACGTATGGAAACTATTTTTTGCCAGTATAAATGTTCACTATGATAGACAAGGACTTAAATTCAGATATTAAATAACTTGTCATCATTTTCTGCTCTTTTAGAATACGATACTAGTTCTGTGGCATTGTCAACTGATATTTTATTGGCAAAATGGCATTCCGAATACGACGCGCATGAAGATAAAGAAATTATTTCTCTTGTTCCTCCATCTGGTCAATCAGGAATTGATTTTACTCCGGAATTATTAAGTTCGTTGTTAGCTAGTGACAACGCAACGTCTTCAAAAATTATTAAACTCGATCTTAACAATGTAAAATCGCCGACTTGGAAAATATCATTAAAATCAAATTTGAGCTTTAGTCTACTAATCAACCTACCCGAAATACCTCTTAACGACACAAAAAGTCAGCCGATGAATTTAACGTTCGCAGATATCGACGCTGTTCGATTTGAAACAAATATCGTGGGATCGAGTGCAAATGTCGATCTTCAACGAATAGAAACCAAACAATTTGCATTTTCAATGGATTCCTCCAATTTAACTCGTAATACGAGTGTAATTTTCGGTCACGTTAAAAGCGATAAATTTCTTTTGAATTTAACAAAATCAAATGAGACCGAAAGTGGAAATATGAATGTTGAAGTACGTCAGGTCGATTCATCTACAGCTGAACTTTTTCTATCTGGAGATTTCTGCACGAACGAAAATGGACTTCAGATCAATTTGAACCTAACACAAAATGGTTAGTAATATATGTTCACATTTTACGTAAAGATAGGGACATTATACCATCTACAAAACGTAACGTCTAAAAAGACAAATAAAGAAGTGATATTTTTTTTAAAAATTAACCTAATTCTAGCATTTGTCTTCTGTCTAAATAACAAGTAGCCGAAGATAATGATCTTTTTCATAAATTGATCAAATCTTTTTTTATATTTTAAGGTTCTATCCGCTATGGTGATCGAAAACCATTAACAATTGGACCCGTATTTACTCGTGTTCATATGTTGAAACAATCATGTGATCGTGATCAACCATTAGTATTATTTTTCGATGTTTGTCTCCAACAAAATCCTTGTTTGAATAGTGGAACATGCATATCATTGATTCCTGATTATAATTCACCTGACGATGGTTCAATAAGTCAATCGGGTAATGTTGGTTACACGTGTAAATGTCCAAAATTAACATCTGGTGAACACTGTGAGTTAATGCAGTATCCATTTGGTTATTGTTTAAATGGTGGTGATAGTAGCCATCCGAATGATGAAAACATCACTTGCATATGTCCATCAGGTTTTACAGGTGTTCATTGTGAAATAAATATTAATAATTGTGAATCTATCACTTGTTCCTCTCATGGTATGTGTGAGGATTCAATTAATTCGTATCGTTGTGTATGTTACAAAGGCTATGATGGGCCAAATTGTGAAAATATAAATTTTGAAAGAGTCGTAATTGAACTAACAACAAAATCATTCGCTATTGTAGCTATTCTATTGATAGTGTCCATTGCTGGACTAGTGATTGCGAGCGATATTCATACATATGTTACTAAACAGAAAAAAAGTACAAAACCAAAACAACAATCAGAATTATTATCTGATGCTGTACTCTTGCTTGGTTTCGTTGATGCGCCAACCGAGCTGAAGACTCAACCTCCTGAACGTAAACCCAAAGGACAACAAAGACTAATACTACCACCAGCTCAGTCACAGAAAAACGGCTTTAAAAAAATAAAAAAACGTTCTAAAAAACCAAAGCGTGAAAATGAGCGATTGATTGAACAAACTGTTGTTTGATTTTTTTTCTTTTTTTTGTCTTTGTTCGTTTGTTTTGTTGTTGTTGTTTCAGACTTTTATTGTGATACTATTTGCTATGTTAAATTATTATCACTTCTAATATGTTCGCTACCATTACTATCAATGAACAAAAGTTGCCAAATGAGTCTACAGTTGATAATAACTTTACAGAAAATGAGATTATAACTGAAATAGAACGTTGATAATTATAATAATCATTATTTTTCGTAGACTAAAGGAGAATAAAGTTTGTCTATTACAATTTTTTCTACTCATACTGATTAAGTGAATGTTTTCCATCAAACATTGTCTTATTTATCACACAAATGTTTCTCCATTAGTAGCAAACAATTGTTTAACGCATTATTTAAACATAAAACGCTTATATATAAATGTCTTCTATTATATGTGTATGTAAAAAGAAAAAAAAAAAGTGAATGTTGATCATCTATCAACTAATCGAATCAAGAATGGAAACAATCACGTTCTTTGTTCGTTGAACAAAATACATTTTCTTCCTTAATGTACGATAATTTTTGTAATATTTCATTTATAATATGACATGCAATTGTACACGGGTGGTCAAAAAATACTAGTATTATCAATATTAGAAAGAATAAAAATTTATTATACAAAAGAATTTTAAAATCAAATTAAATGAATGTCCAAATTGATCATGGTTATTGTTAGAATAATTTTTTGTTTAATCATTGGATATTATATTCTACACTACATTTAAGATTAAATAATCATAAGTACTTATATAAAAATAATAAAAGTTTTTAGAACTGAAATTGAATTCATGCAAGTGGAAAACGTATTTTAGCTACTTACCAATTTCTATTCGTGTCAGATAGATATGACTGACTATTGACATTATCACATATTTTTTATCTTATTTTAAATAGTAAAATTAATAGTCTGTTTTTCATTAAATTTATTATTTTACCAACATGTAAATGGTGTCGTATTAATACCGATGAAGTCGATCATATCACCGTTAGAAAGATAAAGTTCATGCAGAATTGTGTAAAAGTGCTTGCTTTTCATTCAACACGCTCCATAATCTATAACAAGAGATTTTCTATGTTTGATGAGGGAGGTATGATCTTAAAAGTTTAAGATTATTTTTTCATGAAAATTTTGTTCAAAAAAAAATTGTTTCTAAACAACTTTTTAGATCATATCTCTCACACCAAAATATAGAAAATCTTTTGAGTTATGAATTGTGGTGAGTACGAAAAAAAACGCTTGTTCAACGCTTCAGCACGAACTTTATTTTTTTTTCTTTACGTTAATATGTTCTTTGTTATTTATATGTGTCACAAAATAATTATTGCAGAAAGTAAACAGTATATAAACGAGAAAACAAACAATGTATAATAATGATTATCAACAAAACACTATAGTACCAAGAATTAAAAAATAAAAAACAAAAAAACAAAAAAAAAAAAAAATTTAAAACTTTTTCTTTTTTTATAAACATCGACTAATCTCTTTTGTTTGTATACATTCTTGGCATGTAATTGTACAACAAAATGTAAAACGACAATTACATTTATCACGATAAGTAACAATATGAGATTGATAACCACGATTACAACATAATAATTCACAACTATCAATTGCACGAGAACTACGATTACATGAACGTCCGTATGTACCAAATGAACCGTAGGTAATATTTTTTATACAATAATTTGGACTTGGATTTAAATAGACAAGATCTAATTTTGTTTGTCTTTCATACGGTGTATTACGAGCCATTAAACGTAATTTATTTTCACTTCGATGTAAACGAACTTCAATAGCATCGTCATATTTTTCTTTTAATTGATTACCAATATGAAAAAATGGTTTTAATGAACGCCAACATGTTTTAAATTCACATGAACCTGATACACCATGACATTTACATTGACGATCAACTTCAGTTTGAATTGTCTAAAGCAAAAAAATAAAGAAAATTATAATATATAAATAAAATAATATTTTTAATTTTTTATTTACTTTAATTCCTGCTTGATTATTATGAATATTTAATAGACTTTGTTTATTTCTCATTGGTCTTTCTCTTAAATTTAAAAATTTTCTAGCAATTTCTGAACCAAATAGAACGTTATCCGAACATCCTGACCATTTTGTTGTTGGATCATTTTTATTTTGTAATGACATATCACAACCACATGAATTAAGTCTACCTGTTGAACATGCTTTTGTAATAGCATACGCAATACCAGCTGCTGTAATTGCATGAATATATGCCGATTCTTTTGTACCTATTCAAAATAAAAATAAAATTAATTATGTTTAAAATAGAAAATAAATAAATATCATTTGATTATAAACCTGAATCAAGAATATTTTCAATTTGTTTTTGTTCATAAAATAAACTACAATTCCAATGACGATTTTTAAATTGTGTTTTACATTCTTCTAATGCTAGATTTGTTCCAAATCGAATAAATGGCATTATATCCAAATGTCTTTGACAAAAAAGAATTTGTCTTGTACTTAGACCATTGTCAATATGACATAAACCTTTTGTCGACATTGTAATATCAGGTACTTGAGTGATCAATCTAAAAAATATAAAAAATTAAATTATTTTTATCTTGAAAAAGAAATATTTTTTATAAGTTCTTTTTGAAAATAGTCTCAAGGTAGTAACAGAAACGTTAAATTATGTTCTAATAGAAAGTAACTGTAATAAATTCACCATTTGTTATCATTGATTTTAGATTATTTTTTATTTAGAATGATTAAAAAAGAATTGTATGACAAATTCTCCTAGTAGTTTAAAATCGGCATACTTATAGCTTATTCATACTAAATCAAATCAAGTAGAACTTTATCCAAAATTAGGATAAAAGCCGAGGACAAAACAGTTAGAAAAAGATAAGAAAGTATATCCTAAATATTTTATTAATAATGCGCTAGAACACGATTTCCGATCAGAGGAAAGGCAGGGGAGTGCTGGCTACTCCCTAAAAAGAATTTTTAGACTTTTCAGCAAAATCTTTGACATTTTTCCAGCAACAACTTTCTACCAAAAATTTGGAAACCTTTTTTTATCAGCCACTGTTTGCGTAGCAAAATTTTCAGCCCTACCCATCCCTAAGAACAATCGAAAATCCTGCGCTAGAGCCATCAAATGATGACTTTGTGATGATGAGATATGTTTCTTTTTTGAGAGGTTATATAGTGAAGTGTTTGACTATATATGTCTATTCACAAAGAACAGAAAAGAAAAGACAAAATGAGTTGTTTATATCAATTTCATAAGTGTTTGAGGATGATCGAAGAATAGATTAAAAGTCTTGCAAAAAACAATAAATAATAATTTTATTTTTAATTTGACTCTGTTTAAATCAGATTAACTGCACGTACAGCAATTCGTTACTTTATACATCCTTTGTTTTACTCATGTTCATCAAAATAAAGCAAAAGAAAAGGTTAATAGTAAAACAAATAGGAGAAAAAAAACACATTAGAACTTGTATGAAACAATATTTCACATGCTTTTTTGTTGTTGTTGTCTGCTGTTAAAATTTTTTATTCTAATCTAAATAACTGTTATATGTCTCACTTGACTTTTTGCTAGTTTGAACAACTGATGTACAAAACAGTTTAACGATCATAAAATCTGATCATTTTCGATTTTTTTTGTTTTGTTAATGGTCCTCTTTTGGATAATTTATTTATAACGATTAAATAAATGAATAATTTATAGTCGACATTGAGGTTATATTCGTTCACACATACATCGATTAAGATTTGTTTTCTTCTTTTTAATCACAGAAATGGTGGTGAATAATTTTATTATCAAACATATGTGTTATATTCAATTGCTTGAACTAATGCCGCGTATTATATATATTTGAATACGAATCAGCTAGAGAGTTTTCTTAAATGATTGTGTAGAATCACGTCCTATTCAGCAATAAAACAGTGAGAAGTTCACAGAGACAATCATAAAACGAAATTCTATATTTCATCTGATAAAATGTGCGATTTATTTTAAAAAGTTAATATTATGATTCATTTCTAATAAATCAATATGTTTTACAATCGCTTTTTTTTTGTTACAGAACAGTTCAAAGCCCTTGGGAAGCTTGAACTGATCTTTATTATGTGCCCAATCCTCAAGACGACCTTTCTAGAACTTTTCTCTCAACTAAATTGAGAATATAAACGTCGAACATCATCAGGGATAGTGATGGTGAAAAATAAAAGGTAAATAATTCATTTCTATTTTAGAAAAAGTTTTCAAGTTTTTTTTGAAATACAAAAGTTCATTACATGAAATTAAAAAATGGTTTTGGACCAAGAATAACTTACTTTTTAAACAATTATAAATAATTTCTGAACGACAGCAGATGCTCTGTTGAACAATAGAAAATGCAACCTTAATCTCGTTTTAACGTAATAGAAGACGAGAAAAGGGAAACAAATGAAAGTGAAGTCTTCCTATCATCGGCTTACCATTACATGAGATGAAACAAAATCTATGAACAACGAGACGTTAAATAAATAATAATGTTATATCCAAATATATACAAAATACAAATAAATAATCTCTTCTATTCGACTCTCTGTTTATGTTATCACATCATTGATCTTTCAAATAAGTATTAAAAAAAAAAAAAAGAATCAAAAAAATGAAAAAGAAAAAGAACGTGATGAAGTGACGATGATCATGAGAAATAATAATGAATTGTGAAGTAACATTTCATTGATAGTTATCATTCATTTGTAAGAGTTAGGTTAAACGATGAATAACAATCATCTTCATAAATATTACAAGTTTCTATCGTGGTGTTCAAGATCTATTCAAGATAAATATATATTTCATTAGATCAAACGCATATATCGAAAGAAGAAGTTCTATGCGTAGATTCAACATCGAGCGAATCATTTAGCAAAATATGAATGAATTTTATTTCTCTTTTCCCCTCCATGTTAGCGCTTCTGATTATTTCAGATTCTAATTCATTTCACAAGCCAGTCAATTCATTATAATTTTTAGTTGAACTAAAAGTTTTTTACTCATAATTTTCAAACTTAAGAAAAAAGTATTCAATCAAATTCTCAAATATTTTTAATTTAGTAACATAAAAATATCTAAAAATTGCTCTTTCCATGTTGAATGAACAAAGAAGAATGACAGACTTTGTATTCTAATTGTTGTATCTTTTTGAAACGTGTATAATTTCTACTTCAAACGTTTTACATTAAATGAACGAATCTCTTATATAAATCAGCACAAGTCAATAGATTAGTAAATATGTTCATTACGTAACATGTCGAATACTAATTTAAATTTTTGTTTTTTTAAAAGATGATTAATCGTCTAGTTCATTGATATTTTAGAAACAAAAAAATCAACATAGACATGTGAAAAATGACATTTCAGTGGGTGGCATTTATTTACCAAAGAGTAGCATGTTAAATATCCTTTTTATAAGATTTATATTGGTTAGTATTTTCAGTCTGGTTAGCATATGTATAAAGACCGTATAATATGAAACAAATGAAGATATAATACCAATCGAATAAGACAAATATTATGGTTACTGGAAGATTTATGACAATTAAAAGAAAAGTAACAATATCAATATCAGTCAGTTTTGGCAAAAAAAGAAACAAAAAAATGATACATATTTTATTATATCAGATTCCAATGAGATTATTTTTTTTATTATTTTTTTTTTTTTTTTATTGAACTATAGTTAGTTAAAACAGCACGATTCCATTAATTTTAAAATGTGTATACACATACTAAAATAGCGATATTACGTTTGAACTGACAGGTCAACAATGTATAATAGAGAAGATTTTCATCTATGTGTCATTATACATCTATCACGTTCAGACATTCACATATGTAGAGATTATTATACTAACGAAGAGTTGGAAAGAATACTTCTTTTTCTTTTCTTTTTTTGTTATAATTAAAATGAGAAGTCCATCCGCTTAGAATTAGTTAAATGAGCCGTATCGTTCTATTTAAAATAAACTTCTATACCCATTGATAGGTAGATAGAAAGTGTTCAAAAGCTCGTCTATTATATATATTACATCAATATTACATATGTCTAGTTATCAACACTTGATTTATGTACAATAAATGAATTATTTTACCTTGTATCAAGTGCCTTTCTCATAATGATAAGAAATAGGATAAAAAACAAAAAAAAAAAGAGAAATTCAATAGAAAGATAAGTATTACTGTTAAAAGTGGCATGGATAATAAACACAAGATGTATATGTATCTGACTAGTAGAATGTCAATTTCACATATAAGATTAAAATGAAAAAATTATTTAAAATCCTATTACATTATTCAAATAAGAAATTTTTAAAAATAATTTTTCTAAACATGCGTTCAACACAATATTAGAATCAGAGATTCTGTTAGAAGATCAAAATAATTTATCATGTTTTTTGAACAAAATATTGATCTTATATCCAAAACAAAAAGGTTAACTTTAATATTCGAATATAAAAAGAAAATGTTTTGTTTACTTACAACCATTGTTCACTTGGAATAAATAAAAATAAAAATGCAATAATTTGTAATTGTTTGAATTGACTCTTTAATCTATTGATATAATTCATAATTGATCGAAATTAAAAGAATTTAATGGAAACGAACATATTTCAAAATAAAAAATACAAAAAAAAAAAATAATAATTAATCGAATATTTTTTTTCTAATAAAATAAATAGAATTTATAAAACATTGTCAATTAACTTTTCTTCTTTTAAAATAATTCATTTATTAAACGAAATATTGATATACGATGTCATACCAAATGAAACAATTCAAATTTTTGATCACAATTATGAGTAACCAACGTATAAACAGATGCAAGAAAAAAAAAGAAGAAAACAAGTGTAAAATTGAAGCAAAGTAAAAAAAAAGATATTTCATCTCATCCATACATATGTACAATTTATACAGTATGAAGAAACGAACGAAAAAGAAGGATATTATCGTTTAATGATTGGATGATCAGAAATTCTAGATAGAGAGAGAGAGAGAGAAAGAGAGAGAGAAAGAGAGGAAGAGCAATAGAAAGAGAGAAAAGAAGAAAAAATTATCGATGCTTCTAACGTAATAAGAAAAGAAAAAGCGAAACGTCTTCAATTTGTTTCTGTGAGATAATAACATAATAGTGACAAATGACAAGTGTCTGAACACTATGAAAAGATTTATTAGCAAAGGAATCTCAAATACTGTAGACAGTTAATTAACAAATACGTTTAAATTGTTTCTGTTTAGAATGAACATGACAAATAATAATAGTAACGTTAAACAGTAATCTTGGAGAATTGATTTTCATCATTTTGTGAGGTTATTATTATCTTCTCCATTAATCATACACTAATAAGTCTCGAACACAAAGATTAGTCCCAATATGTTGATAAGGACATTGCAGTTGTTTTTCATTCACAACTAATTTATACTGTCGTCACGAACTTTCATAAAATTCCACCACATTTTTTAGCTATTTATTTATGCCCATTCACACATCTCTGTTATCTTCATTCAAAACACAAAATCATCTTTATTTTCAAATACATTTTTAACATTATTTTTTTCTTCTCTTAAATGAGCATAGAACTGTGTACTGTTTTATTTTCCTTTTTTAACAAATTTCTTTACTAAAACTTTTGTAGAACTTAGTAGAATAAATCTCAAGATATTCAGTGATTTTCTTCTATTTCGTCCAGTTTCAATAAAGAATCTTGTTTTATAATTTAGATCTTAGTTTATTGCAAGATTCTTGGTTGCTTTGTAGACAGAAAACTTTCGCGAATAAAGCGATGAAAAAATTAAAACAAGAATCTTGATTGATTGAGTCGTCAAAACAAATTAAAATATTATGTGTGAAATGGTAAGAGAGGAGAATCTTACATGAACATCGATAAGAAAGGCGGAATAGTAGATCTCACTTTTCTATTAGTAAGTATACAGAAAGAGTTTATACGCAAGAATACAGACATAGAAATGCAAAAAACTTTCGAAAAAATGGTTTGAATTGTAACCATTTACATGTGGATCAATAATAATTGTTTGCCAAACGAAGAATGCAAAAATGAAACGCGTTCTAGCAATCTTCGCAGTCAACGCTAGCTAAGAAAAAGATAAGTCATGAGTCTGCCCAGTTCATTGATTACAATCGTAATTAAATGTAAGTTATACTATTGTAGAAGACTAAAGGAAATGTCAGATTATGGTTAATTTTTCTTTCTGAACGTGATTATAAGATTTATACGAAATTAAATAAGAATTTGTTGGTTCAGCTGTTTATTAGAAACTCTCTCTCAGAAAACTGTAAAATTTTTTATCAAATGTTACTATCAATTAGATAGAGAAGAGCCGAGAATTTTGAGTTACAAATTTTTATATTTTCGATGAAAACATTCTGAAAATTTTCACTTGATTTTTTAAGTCTTTTTCAAAAGTAAACATTATCATCAGATTCATTGTTAAACGATATATGCTCTATGTGATATCAATGTTACTGTAAATCATTGGATGCTAGTTCTACAGCTCCAATAAAATCCGATACCACGTCAGAACCGCCGAGAATCAGAATCTCGCTTAATTCTGATTTGAGAGAACACTTTGACTATTTATTCATGTCAAATGCCACTATACTGCAACACAGAGAAATAGATTAGTTTTCAAATCCTACTTCGTGAAATGTTTTTACTGCTTTTGCTTGTGAAAAGATGTCTCTCTATCGATTAGTAAAAAATCGTAAGTCAATAACTTTCTTCGTTCAAAAGTTATTGAAAGAGCGTCCATGCCTTTTCTATTCAGAAAAGGAGAGGAGTTTGATCAACGGTCATTTAGCGTATACAACGTTAAGACGTTAAAATTTTCATGAGTAATAAGCATCTTGATGTTTACTCAAAATGTTACAGCAAATTTATAAAGTCAAATCTTATTCTAATCGACGCAGACTGACATCTTACCAATAAAAGTTGAGTAAAATAATTCTGAACTCTAGCTTTTTAAATGAACTATACTAATCTAAGTGTTCTCTTTACACTTTTAATTTCATTTGTTTGTTTGTTAAACTCCAATAGACATACTTCTTTACACCCGCCATAGTCAAAACTCATTTTTATTAAGAAATGTTTTTCTGCATGTTAAGCAAGAATAAAAACGACGAAGAAGACAGATTAGTCAATAAGCAGACAAACGAACAAAAGTCCTTAATCACAAAAGACAGCAACAGAATTATTCATAATAAACAACACAAAAAAAATGAAAAAAAAAAACAACGCCAAGCACAGTGTCAGGAGTACACAAAAAATAGTTTTTAACCATTTTAAACATTCAAAAAAATACTCAATAATACACCTACAAACTCAAGAAGAAAAATTCAAATGTATATTTGTTTTCCAAGTGGTTACGAAAAATTGAACACATACAATTTATGTAGACGACCACTAATAAAACTCAAAATTGGATGCGGGCACAAAATGGACTGAAAAATATCCGACATTCAACGAATAAATAGAAATGTTTGAATTTAGTAACAAAAACATAAAAGTATCATTACATCATCGTGTTAACGTAAAAACTGTACTAAATATCTCAATGCAACTTGTGATTCATCATAAACGATGTATTCATTAGATTCAACGCGAGGATAATCACATGAGGTATTTTCAATTGTTTTACCCAACGGCATACGAACACCTACATAAAAATAATGTACAATAGAGATATTTTTGTTAGTTGATAAAAAAAAGAGTATAATTTACCTGTATTTAGCGTAATGGTATGTTTTGGATCCGGTATTGAACGTCCAATTGCTTTATAGCTCTGATGTATTTTAAAATCAATATTCTCATCCTCATGTGTATGTTGTGTAATTTCTTTGACATTTCCTAATGCTACTTCACATAATAACATGAAGCATCGCTGTTTTCCTTGTGTCGTATCATCATCTGTTACACCCGAACAATAACCTAAACTTTTAGAAAATAAATCCGCTGAATAAATGCCCTTTCCAAACAGTGAACCGCTTGCCGTCGACGCTAATGGTCCAACAAGAAGACCTAAAATACAGATAGAAAACAATGAAAAATAAAAATAAATTATACTATTTTATATATTCACTTACCACGTGTGAGAATACTAATTAGATTACATATTCCTGTTCCATGCCATAATAGCCAATGGTTATCTAATTTTCGTTTAGATAAACGATCATCTTCACCGGGACGAGCAATTTTAAATATTCTTTCAACACGTATTTCTGATGCTTTAAAATAAATAAAGAAAAACACTTAAATAGACATTTAATATGAGATTTATTTCAATTGTTTACCACTCGCCCATATATAACGTAATATCAGTTGTGATTCAATATCATCACGATTCATTAATTCAAATTGACAACTAATTGATTTATATAAATAATCAACAGGATTTATAGCTAAATAGAAATCGTTCAAATTTTTAATAATGAATAAACTATAGAATTTTAACAACAAAAAATCCTTGTTTCTCAGTAAATGATATTTATTATTAGCATACACATAATAACACTTACTTGACATTTTGGCTTGTGCTCCTAATAACATTTTATAACTCAATTCTAATTCTAATAGATCTTCAATTATTTTTAATTGTTGTTTTAATTCGTGTTCATGTGTTAAAACGGGTAATTTTTCATTCGCATAACCTTTTAATGGTATTAATGCATAATATCTATTTGATAAATTGTATATTGTTTCCATACATTGTTTATATTCATCTTGTTGTCTTTTTCCACGTTGTATTTCAAATTGTTGTTTTTTATCAATCTCAACTTTTAGTTTAATTAATAAATCTTGTGCTTGTGATAATGTTTCACGTTTTAATTGTGAAACAGGCATCCATTCAACATCTAAACTTGTTTTATTTAAATCTGTTTTTATCGCTTGTTTATTCATAAATGTTTTCATTAAATCAATATAAGGTTGTGATTGTAATTTAGCTAATGGATATTTAACATTTCTTAATTTATCCGAATTAATTATAATATTTGGATATTTTGTCATTTCCCGTTCATTTAAACGAATTAAATTGTATTTTTTTGGTTTTTGATCGAAATTATCAATATCTTTCCAACTGTTACCAGTTTTCTCTTTGAATACTTTAGAAAATTCTTTTTTACATTCATCCAAGGTTGAATATCTAAAATAAATAAATATAGCATAAGATACCAACATCTCGAGAAGAAAAAAAAAAGAAAGAACCTACGGTGTTAACTGATGTTGACCATCGTCACCTAAAAACAGAATCAAATAAGTCAAATAAGTTACACATAAATCATATACTGGATGCTTTTTCAGAAATTCTCGCTTGATATCAGGTACACCAATATATTGATGTTTTTTTATCCGATACGAATGAAACAAAGTGTTGAAATATTAAATAGAACGATAAAGATTTATAAAAATCTAAAAATCTCACAAATCCTTTTAATGATTATTTAGTTTTACGAAAATCTATTAGATGACTTAATAGAACAAATTGTACTTATTTTAACTGAATAATCCAAAAGCGTTAAACGTTAGAAAGAATATAGAAATCTCGCACCGGTGCGCACTAGTGCAGAAGTTTTGTTTTCAATCACCATTTTGTTTTGTCAATTTCTGTCTATATTAACAACAGAGTCGACTTCTAATATTTCGAATGTCTTTATTCTGACTTCATTTTTTCCTTCTCATAAGAGAAGTGCCGAGGTCATGTCGCATGGTTTTGGCATGTTAATGTGATACTGATCAGTAATACAAAATTCAGCATCAACAACTATAATAAAAAACTAATTAAATTGATTAAATAAATTTCAGTTCGGCACCGATTTTTGCTAGTGCGGTACCCATGCGACACTGATTTTTACCAGTGTGGCGCTAGAATTTTTTTTATAGAGCTATATGTCAAAAACAAGACACGTTCTGAAGTAGTTTAAATCATTTTTAGTAGTCAACAAATAAATTCTAAAAAAAAGAATAATAATGAATGATTTATACCTATTCTTCCCCATCTTGTACATAGAAAATATAAATCTGTTTTGCTTTTATGTTTAATTATTTGCATTCGATAAAAATTGTATAAACCTAATAGTCCATAATGTACATCTGTTTTTGTTAATCGTACATCAAATGGAATATTTTTTTCTATATCAATAACAACTTCACCTACTCTCTCCATCTCTGAATGTGGATCAACATCATAAGCTGAATTATGTACACTTGGTTGATATTTTTGTAAATGTGATTCAATTAATGTTTGAGCATCAGTATAATAATCTGGTTTTTGTATAGATGATAATAATTTTTGATTTTGATCATTAATTTCAAATGGTTGAAATGTTACTTTATCTGTTGATGTTATTTGTTCATCTCTTCCAATTAAATTTTCTAATTCATTATATAATATATTTGATCCATTAATTGAACTGTACTGTAATGGTGATAAACCAGCTAGATCTAATTGTGTTAATGAAGCACCACATGTATGTAATAACTTTAACAGTTCAACATTTTCAAATGAACCATTTTCAAATGGTTGTATTAGATAATGTACACATGTTCGACCCAATGAATCATTTTCATTTAAATTTATTTTATTTGTCATTTCAAACTTTCGCACAGGACTTTCAACATCCATATTTTTATTTGTTGAAATGGTTTGTGAAGCACCCAAAAAGACTGTAGGTTTTAGACTACGACCCGTTCGAAATCTTGTTTCTTTAAAAGAAAAAGAGAAATGCACATTACAGAACAAGGCTATCTGAATCAAAACAATTTGAATTGAAATTAAAACATATAAAAACAATGTAAAAGAGTCCGTTTTTTAATATAGATGGTCATCAGTCTTTTACACTGCTGAAAGATACATACATCAGTTTCTTTCCTTTTTTTGAACTTTTAAGGTAAAATCCATCGCGAAATAAAACAAAGAAAGTATTAAAAAATGTAACTCTTTTACGTCGATATCTCAGCTTAATCTGATATTTTAAAACACCAAATCGAGCTCTCTAGCTAGTTTCTGAAAGGATAAATCTATCGGACAGTACATGTCCCATTTTGATCGACATCTAATGAACAAAGGTAGGTGGAGTTCTCAAAATTCTAACATAACTATTCCTCGACATGATCAACATTTTCTAAAATTTTTGTCAAGATCTGACTTATAGTTATCGAGATAGATTTTTGACAAGAAGGAGACTTAAAAGATTAACATTGATTAAAGCTAACGTGATGAAAGCTGAACGTACCTTTTGGTGTTTCATCAGCAACATGGAGTTGATAATCCTTGTTCAGTAGACCTTTAACAATATCAATGTTATTCTAAAAGATAAATATTAGATGAGATTTGAACAATTAATGATAAATCATTGAACAGTCAAAGTTTTACATTCAAAACATTTTCTCTACTCATATTACACGATCTTTAATCCATTTTAAATTCTCATTAAATTAGAGAATGAATTTGGTCTGTATGAGATAAAACTAAACAATTTTCTTGTTTTAGATTCTCAAAATAAATAAAACTCATCGACCTAATTACATCATATTTTCTTTTTAACATATTCGTTTTCTGTCTGTCATCTTCATCCGAGAAAAAGTAAATAAAAATAGACAATAGTAAATTTACCTGCAATATAGCATGCATCAATGGTGTTCGTTTTCCATCATCTTGATAATTTGGTGATACACCTATATTCAATAAAAATTTAATTAATTTAAAATCATTATAGACAATGGCATTAATCAATGGCGATGTTCGAGTTATTGTTGACAATATTGGATAAGATACATTTTTTGTTTGTTCAACATGACCAAATGATAATGGATTGACATTCATTTCATTAGGATAATTACATAAACAATCTAATTCATCACCAGAACGAATAAAAGATTTAATATTTTCCAATGTTATCTCATCATATGTCATATAACCACATGTCCAAAAAAATAGTGCAATAGCTTTATTATTATAAGAATCCAAAATATTTAAATCAAATTTTGTTGTAATTGTTCTACTTAAAAAATTTAATAGAATAAAATTATGTTTAATACAAGCATAATGAATTGGAAGACATCCAAATTCATCTTTATCATTGTATGATACATAATTATCTAATAAATATTGAGATATTTGTTTAATTAATTCTTTATCATTTTCTGTTGGTTTATCCATATTGGCTAATACATGAAATAGAGTTTGTTTATTTTGATTTGTTTCTTGTAGTACATCTTTATCTTTAATACGTGTTAATAAACGAATAACTAAATTTAATTTTTTTGTTATTATAGCTGCTTCAATCATTTGAAAAGAAATTAATTGAAAACGTTCTAAATCATTTAAGATTAATGAGAGTGCACCTTGCCAATCTTTTTCAACAATTAATAATATCAATGAACGTTGAACAATTTTCTCTGGTATAGGACGAACCAAATTCCATAACCATCTATTGTTTAAATAATTTTTTTTTTTTTTTGACGATATACCATTCATTATTGTTTTTGATGTTGTGATTTCTGAGGGTATGGATTCTATTGGTTGTTCTGGACATATTGTATACAATTGTGATAAATCAATATCGAATTGTTGTTGTAAAAATGAAATAAATAAATTTAAATGATCGGTAAATATACATGTACCAATAATGGAATTATTTAAATTATTTTTGACTAATAACGATGATTTATGTTGTTGTAACAACATTACACAAACAGTTGAACCTTTACTAACAGCTAAATGTAACGGTGTATTACCATCATTATTTTCTGTATCCAATAAATTATAATTCATTGATTTCATGATTAGCATACATAATTCAACAGGATCATCGCCACCATTTGTTTTTGAAAATACATTGTGTAATGGAATATTACCTAGATTATCATGAGCAAATAAATCACCTCCATTATCAATTAATTTTTTTTCAACATCCGTAGTGGCATCCGTTGTTCCACGATTATGATAGATAGCCACATGTAATGGTGTACGGTTATGATTTCCATATGAATTTATTAATGTTGATGTTAATCCTGAACGTTTCATTATATCAATATAAAGTTCTAATGTATGTAACATATCGGGTGAACGTTGTGAATCTTGGACTAAATAATGTAATGTTTGATTACCATATGTATCTGTTGTTGTTAAATCACAACCTTTATGTTTCAACAGTATACACACCGTTGGCCATAAATGTTTTTTTGATGATAATATTAATGGTGTCATTTTTTCTTCTTTTTGTACCTTTGATGTTGCCATGCTAATATCACAAGATTCATGTTCAATTAATAGACGAGCTATCTCAGGTTCATTTAAAAATATTGATTCTAATAATGGTGTACGATTTGTTTTATGATGCAATAAATTGACATTTTTAGTTTTTTTCAGTAATAAATGTAACGGATGACTTTCAATTGGCATATAGGATACTGTATGTAATAACGAAAATATACTTGTTTCTTTTGATCGTTCTTGTTCCTGATTTTCATCATCCGTTATTATCACATCTTTATCGTCATCGTTATTTTCATTTTCATCTGAATCTAAATCTTCATTTGACTTATCTGGAAAAAATTGTTTATTTTGATCAATATCAATTTTAACATCTGGATCACATTGAGCAATATTAAGTAAATAGTCAATTGTTTGAATAATAGAACGATACTCATTCTTTAAATTATCTGATACATCGATTGAAGTTTTATCCTAAAAGATATATAAACAAATACAAATACTTGACAAACATTTTGATCTTTTTCTAACAGTTAGAATAAAATAAAATGGTAAAGATATATTTGACTCGTTTTTTTTCGAGATTTTTATAAAAGAAATAATCTTATTCTAAAAAGATCATAAAAAAAGAATAATTACTAATAATAAATTCAATTTTCTTTAATATCTTAATTTCAAAATGACTAAAAAGTTGTCTTCACTACGTAAGAAAGTGACTAGCTTGGATATTAATCAATTCAATTCGTTTAATAAAAAACAACTAAACAAATCGAAAGAAAGATGTTACTTACTTTATTTGCAAGACAATATACACCAAAAGCTTGACACGCATAATGAAGTGGATTCATTGATTTGTTGTCAGTTATTTTCCCCATATCTTTTATTTCTTGAGTACCAGGCTAAGTATACACAAATACAGGGAAAAAGATTTTAATTAAACAATAAAATTGAAAGAATACTCACCAATTTGATTAATGTTTGTATGAGATTATATTCTTTACATCGTAATGCAAAATAATGCAATAAATTTTTACCATCATAACTAATATCTGACGTTATTTTAACATTTGCTTTATCAATCAAATAATCAACAAGAATAAAATTACCCTATCATAAAGAAGAGTAAACTTATTTCTGTCAATACAATGATAGACAGAATCTTACATTTTCTAATGAAGTCATTAATGGAGATTGAGCTTTACTATTCATTTTATTTGGATCACAACCATTATCAAGTAATATCTGTGCTATTTTAAAATAATTATTACGTAAATCAACTTGACCGCGCTAGAAAATGAACAAATTCTTCTAGATAACATCAGTTGAATATTTCACTCTTACTGTATCTAAATGATTTAAATTCGTATGCGATTTATTGGATACCAAATAATGAAACTAAAAATACAGAAAAAATAGAAAATCTTAACCTTATTCTTCGATAAAATACATACCCCATTATTTCCAGACGAATCAACACTTGTACAATCGGCATGATGTTTTGTGACAACATATTCTAATTGTTGAACAGAAGACGATGATATGTCAAGAGCAACGGTCAACATGACTAATGTCAAACCTATTAAAATAAGAAAAAAGTAATTAGTTTAATTCTCTGAATATTATCGATAAATAATAAATACCATCATCTGTTTTAAAATTAATATCGACTTTATGTTCTGTTAATAAATAATCACAAAGACCATAATGTCCTTTTAAAAAACCAGCTGCAAGTGGTGTTGTCTAAAATATTTTTGAACTAAAATAATATTTTTTTTATGATTTAATAAATTTTTAATAGTCAATAGATTCTCAATTTTTAAATATATTTTATTAATAAGAAATAAAAATTAGACTATTTATCAACATAACATCTAATGTATGAGTTTATTTTACCTGCCATGAGTTAACACAATTTGGATTTGCACCAGCTTCTAATAGTAATTTTACACAAAAATACCATCCATATGCTATAGCATAATGTAAAGCCGAATTTGAAGAACTATCAAAGGCATCTGGATTTGCTCCTAATCGTAATAGATACGAGACTACGTGAGCATTGCCACACATACAGGCATGTATTAAAGGAGTCCTTTTAAAACGATCTAAATAGAAGGAAAATTTAACAAAAATTTTAATATTCAAATTGTTTCTACACACCTCTAGATTCAACTTTAGTTCCATTTTCGATTAAATATGTGACAATTTTTAAAAAGCCTTTTTGACAAGCAACCATTAATGAATTCGCTTTTCCAGAGCTAGTACTCAATGGAATGTCAATATTCGCACCATGATTAATCAAAACTTTCACACAATCCTATTAAATTAACGAAATAAAAAATTAATTAACAAAACTAAAACTTATTTTAAAAGATCAATTCAGGTTACCAAATTATTTTTCATTACTGCCAAATGAATTGGATACATTCGAGCTTTATTTGGTCGATTAATACCAGCAAGACCAAATTTAGCATTAGTGTTCAAAGTATCTAAAACATAGACAAATAATCTGCTATTTATTCATAATATCATCTCTTAACTACCATCAACTTCATTCGATTCGGCTTTTTCTTTTGCCGTTCGTAATAATATTTCAGCATTAATTGCTCGTCCTTGTTCACACGCTATGTGTAGTGGAGTATTTCCGCCGCGATCACAATCATTAAAATTGGCTTGTCTAAAACAATAGATACAGCAGTATCAATCAACTATTCTTTATATGCGAATGATTCTTCTTGCTTATATGAACGAATACTAGTTTAAAGAAATAAAAATTGTATTTACCTTGACAATAAATATTCAAGTGGCTCTGGTCCTTCACATGCAGCAGCGAAATGAATCGGTCTTCGTTCGTATTTATCTAATATATTAATTTCTGGCATTATTGTCAATAATTGTTTTAAATATTTCGAATTTGGATTAATTGCAGCACAATGCACTGGTGTAATCTATAATGTAAAAAAAGAAAAAGAGGAGAACTCCAGTACTTTCTACTATGACGTCATTGAATGAAGAAAAAAAAAGAAACATACTTGAGAATTGTGTTTTGTCTTTTTTAATACACTTGATGCACGATTGATTGTTATATCTTCATTATCATAGAGTAACACCTAAAACAGATAAAAGCATTATTAATTCTATTTTTTTTCTGTTCGATTTGTTTTAAATAATAAAACTGTCCTTTTTGACTTTGACGAGAAAAATTGTTGTTAAACATATGATTTCAGTTTTCGAAGTCATATACAAAACTTACTTGTTTATGTAAATAGTTGAAACCATGAAAGGCATTTTGTTCAATATCTTCGATAATATGGGCAGCTAGTTTTCGATTACCAGAACGAACGGCATGATAAATATTTTCATATACATAATGCTTCTGGAATAATCAATAAAAATAGACTATATTAGACTTTCTTGTAACATTTGAATAAATTTTTAATGAAACATTTGTGCCGAAGTTCAATAGCACTGAAAGTTTTTTCTTAGCAAATGAGGTAAATACTTTAAGCAATGTGATCAAAACTGGAAATGTCATATCTTATTCATTTCTTATACTAACTAAGTTTCAGAATATTAACTTATGTATTATATGTTTCGATCTATCTAAATTCTAGCGTTTGTCTTTTTCTAGAAACAACACTTCATTTTTAAAATTGCAATAAAATTTTTTTTCATCAATTAACTGGATAATGAGCAACAAATCTTGCTTTCTTCAACTGAAAAAGAGAACAACTGAATAAATTAATTACTTACCCCATATCCTGTTTTTCCATCTACCAAAAGATCATAAGCTTCTATAGTGCAATCATTTTTTAGAGCATATAATATCACACGATTTATATTAAAATGTGTATTTATTTGCAATTCATCCTTTTGAGAGAAGAAAAGAAATGCTATGGAAATAGAAAAACAAACAACTCTTTTTTACGATTGATTATTTACTTTGTTCAATGCATTGTTTCCTTCTTTAGCACCTCTGCTTGCCGTAAGTTTTATCGTTCGAAAGCCTAATGTTTTCATACTAAACCTAAATCGTACAAGAAAATATAATCATATTATAATAATTAGAGACATTAAGATAAGTCGATTTGACTAATCAAATGAATTTCTAATCAATGAAGTTTTCAAATTTGTCAACATGACAATCATAGCATTAATCACCACATAATTTATTTGTAAAACGAACATATCTTACTAAAATAATCTTTCAACTAGATAAAATTGTTGACTATACGATGATATTACAAAATGTACTCAAGATACGCGTGTAAAATATAATTATACATACGTTCCCGCAGTTCGTGTTGTCATACTCATTGTTGGACGAGGACATCGATCTTTTTTTGGTGTTGCAATATCATCGAGTATCTCCTTTAACATATTTAGATTATTTGTTTGTATAGCATATTGAACAGCTGAATATTCATTGTGAATTCCACGCATTAAATGAATCTATAATAATCAGAAGAAAAATGAAATAAATGAATAATGAAATCAAATAATAAAGAAAATTATCTTGTATTTTTTAATTACGTACAGAATAAACTCTATCAACATCATCGATCAATGTTTTTAACAATTTATGATCATTGAGTAAAACAGCACGTATAGCTAATTTTCCTTGAACGATAGTTGAAATATAGGGGACAGGTAAACTGTAAATAAAACATTGAATATATATTAATAATTAAAAAAGATATTAATTCACAAACCTATCTTCAAAAAATGGCTCTTTTCGATATGTTGTCACATTGACATTTTCTTTTAAAAATCGATTACTTTGAACACGAAACATTTTTGATTTCGGTGGCGTAGCAGGAACAGCTTAAAAAAAATAGTAAGAGAATATCAATAACAATCTGTACTCTCAAAAATCGACTATCTACTCTTCTTTGGTGATTTTTTAGTAATTGTCGATGTTGTATTTTCATCCGTCACTTCTGATATATCTTGTGTGCGACGACGTTTTCTTATACCTAAAATAAAAGTAATCTTAACGTTATCTATAAAAATAAAATAAAATACATGTACTCTCGACATAAATAAAAAAAAAATATGAAAATTTGACACAAATTATTTCTAAACCAAATTTTCACAAACTCATCTGCATGTATTGTCTTAATTTCTCGTTTGACAATACTGTGAACTGTAAAATTTTACATAACTTACGTCCTCCACCATCTGATGAGTGCACATTTGGATCTGTTTTCCTTGCACGTTTCTTTGGTTGTTTTGTTTTTTCTTCAGTCAATTTATTTTTTTGAGATGTTTTTGGTATCGTTACAGGTTCAGCAACATTCTTCACTTTATCAGATGTTTCTTTTCGTTTTTTTAATGGTGTTAGTAGGTTTTTCTTTGTTTTTGATTTAGGAAAAGCTTCATCATCGGTATCACTAGCTACATCCATAGATCCAACATCATCATTGTCATTGGTAAATATTTGTTTTAGTGTGTCTGGCTTTGGCATAGACGAAGAAGTGGACGCTTTTGGTGGTGATAACGTAGGGGCCATCAACTGTTCATCCATATTGAACGTGGGTTTGTTCAATTTTGACACAGACTTTTTACCAGGGATCAATACTGGTATTTTTCTCTCTTCATCAGAATTTGATGACCAATCGTCGTCTTGTTTATTATCGATTTTACTTGTTGATTTCATTTCATTATTTTCATCTTCACTATCTAATTGACTATCATCCGATGAAGATAATGGTTCACCATTAATTGATTTTTGCAGTAAACGTTTTGTTTCAGCAATATCTTCTTTTCTTAACGATATTGTACGATCATTGTGTCGTTTTACTTTAACAATACCCGTCAAAACTGTATGAGGATCGAGCCAATCGACAAAATCTAACTTAAATCGGGTATTCTCATTTATCGATTGGTTGTCCTGATTATCACCACCAACTGATGATAACCACAGGATCTTAATCTTTTTAGTATCACGATACACATTGTGTAATACTTGACAAACAAAAAATGAGTCTAAAACAAACAATAACAAAAATGATAGCAAATAAATATATAAAACGTTCTCCCGGCAGACTTTTCTTCATCCAGACATGGATTGAGGTGTTGTGTCAAGACCCTAGAGTAACTAAAGCAGACGTAAAATGGTATTCCATTTACCATCTGGACTACGACAAGTGACATAAGTTTTTGCACGATAAATAACGGGCTTCAATTTTTTTGGTTCATCAGTTGTCGAATTATGAGAATAATCATTTTTTACATCTGTTTGTGAATCGCTACTATCTTCGGCTTGAGCTAGAACTGATGCCGATGAGGTATTCGCATTATGACGATCATACTGAACAGTCTAGAAGAAAAAACAATGATTTTGTCATATAATTGCTCTCCATTAGTTTATGAATATTGACTCACTTGCCAGTATGATCCGTTTAAACCGGTATGTTTTTCTTCACGAGATCGTGATTCATTGTTTATTGAATTTCTTGATCGACGTTTTCGTGTCGAGTGTTCTTCCTTCTAAAATTATTATAATTATATTAAGCGTTTGATTTAATGACGAACAATCCGGTATGATGGTAAATTCATAGATCGAGCTGTACTACTACTCTTAGATTGATCATTATCCAAACTTTTAATTATTCCAGTGACAACAAATGTAAGTTGCATGCGAGTTCTATCGTAAAGAAAAATTCGCTTTTTGGTTATAGCAAAATCTCATACTTCTTTTGTTTTTTTAATTATTGTCAAAAAAATTTGAGATTTAGTTACTTTTTTTCTTTCGGATTGCTTTGATTTTGGCTTTTTTTGCTCATCGTCTGACGAATCATCTTGTACATCCTATACTAAGGAAAACAACGTGAAACTTTATACAGAACAGAATAAAAGCTGAAATTATCACCTCAGCGATTCTCAAACGTGACGGTTTTCCCGGTGTATGTTTTTCGGATGAATCTGAATCGGATGAATAAATCATCTGAAATCAAAATACGTACAAATTTTGAGATGGTTAGAATACTAAGCACATCGTTCTTCTCAGTGTTTCTAATAAGAGAATGTACTCGTTGAAACAGAGTGTGCAGTACGAAATTAAATTTACACGCTATTTTTCGTTGTGTGAGAAAAAACGGAGTATATCACTGCATACTCTGAATTTTTAATTTGCACTTTTTTTTCTTTGCAGGTCTTTGCCAGTTTATGTAGAGAATACAGCGTTGTTTTTCGTGCGTACGATTTGTGGCCTATCGCTAACGACCAGTGGTTCAGTTCAACAGATATACTATACACTGTAAAATCGGTCACCCACTTATACGGGTGAATGTTACGCACCTATGTGGGTCATAAAATATCCCGCATAAGTGGGTGACGTAACGGTACCAATCATTACGCCGTCACACAGACGGATAACAGTTTTCACCCAGTTAAGTGGGTGACAGGTTTTTCATTGGGTGATTTTGACTGTCACCCGACAAACTGCTAAATATATCAGTCAACATAGACAGATGTCTTCTATGGTGTTATCTGAAGAAAAAATCATAAAATTTGGCAAAGTTTAAGATTTTCTACTAAAATTAAAATATACTCTAAAAATTTCTGAAAATAAGCGGGATGGCAAAAAGAATAGATCCAGAAGCACACAGCATCCGAAGACGTCCAAAAGTTTCAAAGTTGAAACACTGTATTTTCGAAGCTGAAGTTCTCAGACACCTTTATCAGAATGTGGATCGACGATGAACTATCGGTCAGAATAATCTTAGATGCTATATATAACTTGTGATTATTTCTAAACAAGTAACCACGTGCATTTGTGTTAAATACATCAGTGAAGAGAAAACCCGTATGGTTGAAGTATGTACAAAAAACTTTTCCCCTTTCGATAACGTAGATTAAAACGACTAACAGTAAATATACACCGGACTACCCGGTTTCGGCAGCTTAATGCCTCGTTTTTATCAGAAAATCCACCAGGGCTTTGTAAAAAAATTGCCAGAATTTTTGGCGCTTATAGGTAAGCGAAATAAGTAGTCTGTTATTCGCGTCCGCTTTGCCTTTGCATTATTGTGATGATCAGTCAAGAAAAGACAAACGGCTGTTTCGGGTTTTTACTAACAGTTTATTGCGCTTCTTTCGAATAAAAATTATATTTTCTTTTATTTGAAGAAATATGAATCTGTTCATTGAAAAGAAATAATAAAGAAAGGCAAAAAAAATGTACGCCTAGGCACATCGATGCAGACACACTCAGTAAGAGTAACTAACAACGAAAAGAACGCAAAATAAAAAATTTCTTAGGTATATAGATATTTCTTAAGTTGTCGACAAACTGCTCTACAGCAACCGAATATTAAAAGCAAAGTATTAAAACAGCCATAATATATAAACTATAATAAGACAAATTTGCGTCGCCCAGCTACATCGAGCCTGTCACTCACTGCAACCACTAAAATGGGTGACATCTTTCAAAATAAGAAAAGTCACCCATCTATCTAGATGACTTATTTGCATGTGACACGTGACCCACTTATATTAAGTAGAACACCTATTTCCAGGGCCCTTATAATGTCATTATAATGTCATTGACAAGCACGATCTTAACAGATGAGTAGTGGATAATTCAACCACGAATAGAAAAAGACAGAACGAACGAATAATACCTCAGCTTAACCTTATCATATCTATCTTATCCAAATTTTTTTCTCCCCATCTCAATCCAACAATTTTTGTACTTTAGCGTTGAGACTTTCTAATTCTGATACACTTTGTTTTGAAAAACAGAGTGTAGGCGTACACTTTCGGCTCCAAAACATATACACATAACGAGGATAAATAAGATCTCTTCTTTGCCGAATGTCTCCTAATGTTTACATTCGGATATGGATATGTGACATACAGAAAAAGAAGACTTGCACGCTAGAATTCTACTAATTATTGGGTTTAGCAGAATAAATAAAACAAAGTATAATAATGAAAATGTAATACAGCATAATAGTACCAGATTATGTTTCATTTCTTGTTTCTTGCTTATCTGTTTTTACAACTTGTTTTGCAAGAGCGGAAATCAAATCGTAGAAGAGAGTTTCTATAATTGGCTGGTATTAAGTTAATATTTTTCGGTAACTGTGAAGTATATAATTCAAATTCCAATAGTTTCTCCAGTTATATATGAAACTGCATATATAATCATTGATTTCTGTTGATTGAAAAATAACAAATGTGCATCCGTTTCTCACTTGTCCTGACATCTGTCGCAAAATTGCGCTATAGTCGCTTATCCAACAGAGATGATTTGCTATTGTGTGCTACCATCAACTCAATCGTACATACGCGAAACTTAAGCTTAAAAATTGGTTTGGATGATGCTGATAGATAAAGTAGAGCATTTTTAAAACTTTTGAAGCAAACAAATCATTCTGAGTCTACTTTTTGCATGCTTGTCTGCTTATTTATCGTATGTACAGTCATTCCGCATTTCAATCAGCCTAGATGTAAATCAAATTGAGATGCTTACACGTCGGGGATCTCAAATTATTTTTTTCGAACACACAGTGGGCAATCACATGGAAGTTAGGTGAACAAACGAAAGTGAGATTTTTCGAAATTCAAACAGTGATATGTGTGCACTATTCAATAGACTTAAGAGGGCGGAGAAAACTTAGTCACAATTTTTAGCCATTTTTGAGGACTTTAAGCAATAACTGCTTCCGTTCTTGAGAGCAACGATATTGAAAACTGAAACCTATATCTTCTGGAAGCTGAAGCTTTGGGCTATTCACTCATAAATTGTTTTTTCAATTAGGTCTTTTTTTGAGCGGTAAAAATAGTTTTTTTGTAACGCTAGATGTATTTCCAATGGCAGACATCAGTAAAGTGCGCGCGCTGGCTATAGCTGAGGAGTAAAATTAATGAAACTTTAAGTGAAGCATCTTTAATACACGGTGCATCGACCTATATACGCACAAAGATGCACTAATCTCTCTCCGATGAATTATGACTCTCCCAAAGGAAATGGTTTTCCAGAGGTTTTTGACGTTATTTTTCATTACCTAAGCGTCTTGCTAAAAAAATAAGTATATATTCGAAATCAGCGTGAAAAACTGCATCTTTTTAAAAAATTCTATAGCTTTTGAATTTTCGAAAATTTTTCATTTACGCAAAATTTAACTTTTTCAGCTTTTGGTCCGCAATGGCGTTAAACTAGGATAATGTTGTGACGTAAGGTTTTAGGTTATGATTTGGGAATTGGTGCGGATGTTAGGATTGATGTATGGTACTTTGAGGAAATTTTGTTTGAAAGATCATGCAGCAGCAGCTTTCGGACACTTCTGAAACCGTAGGAAATTATGGCTAGCAGAGCGCTAGGAGACTTAGATGGTAGAGACTATGTCAGCCAGGCCTCTGGAACTTGCGTAAATCCCCCCTGATCCTATCATCTAAGTTATCTGGAGGTCATGTAATTTCTCAGGGATGGAGCGGCTGAGATCCCTTGGCACAGTTGAGTGGGCAGTGGAGGCTATCGGAGGGACAACCGATTTAACAAGGTAAGTTGTCTGATCGGTCTCTGCCCAATGTAATGACCTTTACCGCTTGATAAAAGCAATGGCAGGAATAAATGAGTTTTCTCAAATGGCTGGAATCGAAAGACTTGAAACAACGTCCTAAGCCACCCAAAAGAAAAGTAAAAATTTCGAAGAACTTGGAGATCGGCAAAAGAAGAACAGATTACTAGCTTTAAACGATCAATTTGATGAGTTTGCAGCTGCAAACGACATATCTGTTAATCACGTGATCGGTTTTCTTTTACGCCAACGTAATTATCAAAACAATAAAAAACTTGCGGCTCTTGGTACACAATTATATGAAATTGGTGACATTGATCATTCTATGAGTGAACTTAGTTTAGATGAAACTATTGCTTTTAAAAGTCATCTTGACATCTCCAGAAATCAACTGGACTATTGTACAACTTTTCTGAGTCCATTTGTACGTATTCCAAACAGAGAATACCTCAGAAATTATGCAAAAAATCTCTTACCGGAACTAGGTGTTTTCAAGATGACATCTGAACATCGAAAGACGAGTGTTCTCGTTACTTCCCGAGAAGCGGTAATTAATCTAACTGTTCAAAGAATAATAGAAATGTTACATAAACAGAATAAAGTTGTGCCAACATCTTTAGTTTACCGTGAAAAATGTGATCACGATGGTGCAGGTAATATGCCAATTTACAAATCACCGAATTCGCCAATGGAAAATACCAATATTTTCTCTGTGATGTTCGTATCTTTGTCTTTGCGGACTGATTCGGGTGAAGTTTTGTGGAACAACGAAACACCCAATAGTTCACATTGATGTAGGCCACTTGCAATAGTTGCAGAGAAGGAATCTACGAAATTATTACAATTTATTAACGGCATTTTTTAGCCAGTCGAAAAATCTTTACGTGAAAATGGTACGTCTTTCGAATATAAAAGTGTTACTTATAATGTTACGGTAGTAATTGAAAACAGTATGAAAAACTTGAAAGTGCGAACGATGGAATCAGGATTAGATGGAGCAGAGATTGTTTATTATGTACTTCTAGACGTGCTGATTGGAAAGATATGAGTAAAATAGAAGATCCTGATTGTTTTGCAATTAATCGTACAGTGGAAAAAACGCTTGATACTTACAAAACGTTGTTACGAGCCGATGGTGAGTTGGAAAAAACTACGGGAGATTACAATGTGAGACAAGGTGTCACGAGTAAACCTATCATCACGACTGATAATCATGACATTACAGTGCTGCATCAGTATATAAATGGTTGCAGCTGGTTTCTAAAATTCATCTATCATTTGCGTGCAGCTGTATTTCACTGGAGTGAAAAAGGTGATATAAAAGATCAGATAGAACTAGTCCGCGAGTTGGTGTTGAATGAAACAGAGAAAAAGATAGGTCTTCGTTTAGATAAATGTGAAATGACAGATAATACCACCATTTCAACAATCGGAAATCAAGGCAGACGTTTCTTTTCATTTGAACTTCGGAAAGATATTATCGAAACAGTTCCGAAGAATTATCAACCTGCCTTCAAAAAACTTTTACAGAACTATTCAGTTATTCTGAGGATTGTATCCTCAACTGAGTCTGTAAATGTGCAGAAATTTAGACAACTAACTGTCGATTTCGCTCTTTTAATAGCCAGAGATTTTCCATGGGTGGAATATTGTATGGACGACACACAGCCTAATATTTCATTCACCTGAACTACTATATAAAAATAATAGCAAAGGATTGGGAGAAATTTCGGAAGAAGCATTAGAATCAACTAATAAAGATGTACGGAACTTTCGTGAATTTCTGTCGAGGAAGTGCGGCTATATTGAAACAATTACTGACGTATTTAATCGACTATTCCTTCGTAGCGACCCGGTAGTTAATTACACAGTACATGAATCATGAGCCAGACGGAAAAGAAAGAAAAATGTTATTTTTTCGTGTCAAAATGAAGATGATGCTCTGTTCGAAAGCCTTATTGAGAAAGGTTAATTGCATTTTTTCATCATTTCGAATTTGACATTATACTTCGTAATTAGTAACATCGGCTAACTGAAACAGGTAAGTAGCGGTAGGCACTAGTAATAGTGACATTAACACAGTGATTAATTTTAGTATCTTTTTAGTTTCGCGCTCGTATGACAGTGACCGTTTTGCATGCTGTGATTATTTTAGTCTCTTTTAGTTTTTTAACAACAGATGGATTGTATGTGCATCTGTTGATTTTAGTAACGTTAGTTCTTTACTTTTCACAGTTTTCTATCTATAACATCCATCAAATAAGTTTCCGGGTAGAGATCGCGCGAAAAGCCTATTTAGGCGTATGTCGTGGAAACTGTACGCCTTACCATCAGGGTTCACACTTCTTGCATAGGCCTATATAGGTTTTCCCATGAACTTGAAAGAAGGTTATTTGAAGGGTGCAAAAGTATCCGGACAAATCTCTTTAATCACTAAATCACTTAGTGCAGTGAACCACCCAAGCAAAAGTTTCGGCCAAGTGTTTGCAAAAAACTTGTTAACAGAAAGAGCAAAACTGGGCTGAAAACCTCTTCTTGAAACAGTATCCGCTCTAACGCGTTCATAATGATGGAAGATTGGCTCTGTATTGACTCGACCATCAATAACTATGCTGGTCAACGGGTGGTGGTGGGCACTGACCATAGTAGACTTTAATTTAACTGATTAACTTACATTAATCAGTTCTTTAACCCTTTTTTGGTCTATTTTCGCGCAAAAAGGGTTTTCCAGAGATGTGGGAAAAAAACCCTCTCTGATAAATTTCTAAGCATTTGTTAATAGTCGAATTGGAATGAGCATAGTCGAAACCTATAAAGTTGAACAATTGTGCAAGTTTTAGCGCTTTGTAGTCCCCCAAAACCCTTAATGATCCGAAAAGTCATCCATTGGAAAGAGCATACTCGAAAACCTATAAAACTGATCAACTTTGCCTTTTTCAGCGATTTTTGGGACCGAAAACAGGAAAAGTTTTCTAGAAAACCCCGTTCAAAAACTTCTATAATTCCGAAAAGGTTTTCATTGGAAAGAGCATACTCGAAATCCTATAAACCCTTTGATTTGAGACGATTAAGTGCATTTTTCACTAAATTTCCATGTGCCTATTTAAAATTGCCCACTATGGGACAGAAAGTTCCGCATGGGGACGCTTATTTCAACGAAATAATGTCATTGCAATCTAAAATACCCAAGGGACTCAACTAAAACTCATATATTTGCAAAAAACTAATAGTTTATTTCACTTTTCTACTAGCGAGAATGGTCTCGACTGTTCATTTTAATAAAAAAACAAAAGTTACAGAAAACTGTGCATTACAACTAAGCTAGTTATTGACAGGTATAAAGTTTTTTTGAAGATGTGAATATTTTCGAATCGTATTTTCATAGTGTTTTCAAGTTGAATTCCCACTAGGCTCCTCCACCCTATTACAACCCTTTCATTCCTGGATTTTTGCTTCTGATCTAATTGATAGGTCTTTGCAGCTCTAAGATTTATTACTAGATCTTCAACTCAATTTACTAACGGATGCCTGATATTTAAAGGTTGCAAATCTGTTACGTAATCTTAGGCGTATGTTACAAATCTGGTATCGTCATACTGGTCGTAATTACAAGTTATATGAAGGTTGCGAACCCCAGTATGTAAGTGTAAGAAACTGTTTTGAAGTAAGTTAAGCTAGAAGACAAAATTTACTGGGACATTTTTTCTGACGAATATATTCAGCTCGCGTTTTCAACATATATATTCTTTTCAGTTTTTGTAACATGCAACACTATTTCTTGTTGTTTTATATACGCTTTTTTAATTTATTTTCTGTATTATGGTACCTGAAACTGAATAAACAAAATATACCATACAATGATTTGTAATCGGGAAGAAGCAAGCGACAGGATAAAATAAAATGTTACTTGGCTCAATAGTTATTGGCGTTTTTGTGGTAAACATTCGAATTATTAGCTATCATAGGTCTTGTATCACTTTTGTGAAGTACAGTATAAATATAACAGACTGGAAGCAGGACTGTATCTGAATCCATCTGCGATTATGCAAAATATAAGAATCCAACAAAAAAACAAAAAATACAGTTTAATAATTTTGCAGTTCGCATAATAGGGTTCTTCAACAGTTCATGATCCTTAACAAAAAATTCTTATAAACTTGTTTTCTTCATTAACAAAATCTACAATAAAACTTGCATAAAAAATATATAATATAGAAAAATAATAATGAATATCTCGGATTTTTTATCTGACTTTAAATATCTAATATAAGCTTTACAATAGTTAATCTTGACTACCGTCGACCTCATTATCAGCAAATAGATCATCAAATGTATTTTCATCAAAATCAAATTTTGGTAATGACACATGATTTTCACTACATTCACTACTATGTGACTTCTTACTCGCTAAATCCATCACATGAATAGCATCATGAAATTTTCGTTTATTTGAAGTTTGCTGTTGTATTAGTTGTTGTTGTTGTTGTTGTTGATTTATCAAACTATCATCGTCATTATTTTCATCCGATTTTATTTCGTTTGTATCAACAAATAAAGACCAACTAGTACTTTGCACATCTGATTCTTCAGTAAACAATGTAGAGGATCTTAAAAAGATACATATGTATTGTTAAATCGGAAACTTTTGAAGAGTGAAGACTAGAGTTCGGAACCATTTGCCTCATATTTAACAATCTTATCGATTTTTCTTCCATAAAGAATAAAATAGAACACTCAAACGACTGAATTTATCTTTTTAACTAATTTTTCGCTTCGTAGCAGTAGATACCACTGATAATTCGGCGGAATTTTGTGAAAAAGGATTGAGATTGACATCAATTACTCATTCAACGATACGATGACAAATACAATTTGTCGTTCATTAATTCAACACGCGTCTCTTAGCTAGAGTAACCAACAAGGATAAAACCAGAGCTGCAGAATCTGTGTGTTTGCTCTGACGATCGACGGAGGGAAAACTTATTGATTCGGGAAAATTTTTTGAAAACTCGAAGAAAATTTCAAATAATTTGGGAAAAGAAATTTTGTTCGTGGATTATGTCGACGAGTTTTTGAAAAACTTTTTCCGTTGAGGGAAATTTTCCAATCACACGGGTAGATTCTGCACCTCTGAATATAACACTTACTTTTGTGTTTGTTGATTGCTTGACAGTTCTGTTTCAGAATAATTTCCTGCTAATAATTTAAGCATATCTTGTGTCGATCGTTTTACAAATGTTTCTATTTGTTGATTTTTATTAATTAGTGTATCATATTTAGACTGAACAGGTGGTATTGCAAATGTTGAAAACAGTGGTTTCTGTTCTTGAACATGTTGTTGTTTATGATACGGGTTTGATTTTATCGCACCAGTAAGTCCCCATTCAAATGGTTTATCCAACGGTGAAGTCTCATTTATGTAAGATGCTGTTGATAAAACAGATCGTGGTGTCGATATTTGTCGTGGTGGTACAAAAACCTGATAGAGTAAAAAATACAACATTTAACAATAGTTTAAGAGGATTGTTTTATACATACATTTTGTTTATCTTTGTTTTTCATTGTTGGATCATTAACGAATTTTGGAATCAGAATTTGTGTATTATCATCTTCTTCAATTGTTACTAAATATCGATCAGTTTCTAATTCAAAACCAGGTTTGAGCTAGAAAACAACACAATCAACTTTTCTTCCAAAATGATAAAAGAGAATATTTACATCTTCGAGTTTTGAGAAGAATACAACATCTATTTGTCTCTTGTTTGCACTAAATAAGTCAGCCTAAATGAAAAGATTGATGCGTTAGCTAATTGTACAAAATTCTTAACTTACGTACAGAATTTGTTATACCACGGCAAATTAAATGTCCATCCTGCCACACTTTAGTCTTTTTTAGTTTCTGATCTGTATATAAGACCTAACAAAAAAGATATTAACACCTTTTATGTAAGGTCTAAATCACAAAAACGAAAATCAAATATACTAACTGGGAAGCTATTAGGCATTATTTGCGTATGTCTTGTTGAGTAAAAAATATCTAAAGTAATACAATCATAACTATTTAAGTGAAACATTTCGAATAGTTCATCGTCACAATAAATATAATATGTGTTGTATCAAAAAAAGAACAGATATGTTTCCTCATATAAAACTAAAGCAAAAATTTATGAAATTTTTCTATCAACTATGCTTTCTATCAATACTATGATTTAAACACCTTAAAATAAATTTAAGATTTACTGGGCTAATAATATAAGCCGTAACTCTATCTCTAGACATTCAATATTACTGATGAAGTGTTTAGCATTAAACGCCCCCATTTGACTTCAATCATTTGTATGTCGATCGATAGAGGATAGTGACCTAGTAAAAATCATAAAAGGATTTCGGCTCTGGTTGCTTCTTTCAAAAGTTATAGAACTTTTTCGCTTTTTACCTAGTGAAACGGGGGAAAATTAAAAATTTTATAACTCTTTCAAGAAAAGGAATTAAGAGTTCAA